CTCCTCAAGAGTCTTGACAACTAGACCAGGTCTTGCAATGCACTTCAGATACTTCGTGAACTGGTCGCTCTGTTTTGTATTGCTAATTTTGAAGCATATATTCTTTTTATTTCAGGAGCGTTTGCTCTTATTCACTGTTGAGTTGTCATCTGTGGAGCGAATTAAACTGACCTACCCTTTTTCTTTCACTAGGATGTTATTCTTTGACTGATAAGAATGTCTATGTCTCGTAAGAAAAAGTGTCTTTTAGTACCATTTTGAGCATATGTAATGGTATTGGTTCCTGGCTACATGATTCTCGAAGTTGAACGTATGATAACTAAGAAGATAGACATTTAACGTTTAACATCTAGATGTGAGAAATGATGAACTTACCTGACTTAATTGTCGTGGCGTGGTTCAGCCATGCAGTTGCAGTCACTGTATGTAAACTCTCGTTCTACGTATCAAGTCTATATATCTCAGTCCGAATTTACTCTTCAAAGGTCCTAAACAGTACCACTGACTGTCGCAATAGGGCGAGCCAGTATGTACCATGACCTGATTTCCATGTGAGGCCTGATAGATCAGGTGGTCAAATCAATGCGAATCTGCAGTAACGGAATAGGTTTTTTATTCTGGTAGCGAAGATAAACGCACATATTACAGATCTAGACCATTGTCATTCATTCGTTCTGCGCCATTTCAAACGTTTGTTACATTATTATACAGACATTTTTGTCCATTGTTGCCTTTGAAATGTTGTGCCTGGGAAAGCGTAAATGTAATTCAAACACTGATACAGACACACTGAAATGGTTTAGTCTTCGGAACTCACACCCTTGCCAGAACCACATGGATGCACTTAACCCTTGAAGTGTTTTGGCGACTTCATACAATGATCAGAAGCAGTGTCTATGAAGAACAGTAGTGGTGCAATAGTGGCCGTTGCCTTTGTTGAAATTCTAGTGGCAAACCTCGGCTGTCATCCGGTCATTACTGTGAATTGCCGACGCCTCTTCGAATCCAGAACAATACACTCTTAAAGATTATACAATTTCGAGCAACCTCCTGATATTCCCAAGCTGATGGATCAGCAGAAAGATTTCACCGACAACTGAAAGCCTCAAATTTAGTTCCAAACGTAACACAATGGAGTGACTCTCAATCACTCATGTTACCTGAGATTGGAAATGCACAGGAAGTTTGTTTCCAGGAGAGTTCGTAGATCCTTTGTTTTTTTAGTGAATAATGATCGAAACTTCTCTCGACTGCGTTCAACTGATGTTTTCGTCCAAGCCACTAGGAGAGAATAAGCTGTAGCAGTAAACAAATTACCTAAGTGAATAGCGTTGTGGATATTCAAGACTGATGCTGACTTCATTATTTCCATTGAGCTCACACTCGTGACAACTAGCTAACTTAGATCACGCTCTTCTCGACGGATCACATACCTTCCAATTTTAATTTCGAACTTCCTTCATTCCTGATTACTGGCATCACTGGTTTTAAGATCTTCGGTTAGAAAGTGTTTTCGACGAAAGCTCTCTCATGCACCGAATAGCCGTGAAATTGTTTAAACCTACATATGCTTAGAAAGAGAATGAGAATCATGGGTATATTGTACTTAAGTGTTGCCCTAGGTCCTGTGAATACACCACATTGTTAAATAGACGATTTCTGAAAGGTTTCATGGATTACATTAGTCTGTTTCTATTCATAAGACTTGACAACTTGTGAAGAAAGGGAAGTGCGCCTGTAGAATTATGGTCCAATTAATTGCTAGTACTATAATAATAATAATAAACGTATCGTGCAACAAGAATAAGCTATATAACGTCTAGTGCTTTTGAAAAACACATTTAGACTAAGGACAAAATAATATATTTAATGTGAGAGAAGACAAGTAATACGGAATGACCATGTGTGCGAACCAAAGCCATACCATCCGATTTTAGGAATGAATGAATGTTCCCGCGTTCATCATTGTTGGTGTTAAATGTTGAATACCTATTTTCCCAGTTATATCACGTTCAGCTGAGAAGATTGTATGGTTAGGACCATTACCACTACACATCCATAGCCCATTTTTACTTGTAATGTTTCCATTTTCTGACTATTTTTCCAAGCTTTTTATTGAAAGTGTTGTAGTGGCATTGTACATCAAGCACACAATCCTCAAAGCTAAAAATTGGATAATTGGAAAAATTGACTTTCAACATGTAAGATTAAGAGAAGGTTAATAATGGTGGACTCAGGAACATTCACTCGAAATTAATTCAGTTAATCGGATGGCATAGCTCAGCCTCGCAGGCGTGGATATTCCTGTGCAGTATCTAACCCTCTTATTCATATTAAACATATTGTTCTGTTTCTAGCTTGACTGTGTTTTCCATTATATATTAGTGATGATTATGATAAGAGGAATCAGTGTAGACAATAAAATGACTTCCAAGTAAGATTAGGCGGTTACAACATGAAAAATCTAAAATTTTAGGATTAGGTCTATTATTAGCCTAGTGCTAATAACGAAGTAGGAACGAAGCAGGAATGCTTAGGATTCCGTAAGTCATTTAGCAGTCGCTCATAAATCTTACACACTATATTGTGCAAAGATTCCATACATCGCTCTCTATAGGGTTTGCATATGAGTACCTTTTATCCCTCAGGAATGAAACAAGAGACATTGTGCCTTCGTACTATAAGTGAAGCTGAATATAACCGTAACAAAGTTGGTGGAAACTTCCACTGTCAAACTTGACATTGATGGACTCCAAATTTGCTAGTTCATTGTTCGCTTTCGAGACATTTTTGTCACGATTAGCTCAAGACTCGAGATCATAGTGTATCGATACGATTGGATCCTTTTCAGATTGAGATAAATCTGTCAGTGAATCTCTTGAGTCGTACATATAGCTTGAAACATGTCTTAGGTGGACTACTTTACAATTTCAAGTGTTGAATGTAGGTTTATTTTTACCCGTCTAATTACGTTGACTGGTCAGATCTATCTGAAGTCCTAGCTTAACATCTTAGTTGTAAACTCCTCTCCAAAGTTTGTAGTCGTCAGCAAAGTTAGGCGACTAGAAATATAGTTCCTGAGGAGGGCTAGTCATACAGATCAAAGATAGAAGAGGTTCTATTACTGAACCCTGAGGGACCCCACTAAGACATTCTTTAGCCCGAGAAGACGCAAAGTCTACTATGAACTTCAAAAATGGATTATTTAGACATAACTGAAACCAGCTCGTCAGTAGTGACTGGTACACAGCAACTTGAGCACGTTGACAGTACATGTGTGACTGACTACATCAAAGATGTTTGAGACATTGACGTTTATCACAAACACCTTCACCTTGCAATCGCCAATGATGGTCCATTTGTCTACCGCAGTCAGTAAACTGCGTTCCATATTTTCCTACTGACTATAAAGTCACGACGTTCAATGTCTCCAATCCACTCCAACTAGGGAACAGAAGAGATTGTCCTGTCCTCGACTTCCTATTTCAACTTATGTAAAACATGGATATTCGAGAAATTCACTACTTCAAGTGAAGTAACAAGAAAACTAAATTTCAGAGAATCAAGTGGTTCATTTGCAGTTGTATAGTTAGAAAAATAAAAAGTACTGTCTTGCATAACAATAGTAACAATGATAACTGTTATATCTAGAGTCTTAGATTCTTGCTATGATACGTACTACTAGAATAATTGAACGATCGAACCCGCAACGTCGCAAGAGAGAAGACAGAAGACTAGTAAGTATGAATGTTATTCCCAACACAGTGTCAAATATAAAACAAGTATCTCATATATTTATAGTTTTGGCTGGAAGTAAGTCATCATTCCGGACAACCAATAGGAGTATAGGGGGTCCTCCTTATTCATCCAATAGGGAAGCTACACGTCGACATTGTAGAATGTTCCGATCGCGGTGATTGAATGGAATGTCTAGACTCTTTCTGAGCTTCTCGAGGCTTCCTTGAGTTTACAAACGAGCCATCCTTACAGTAACAAACTTTATGAAAATACTCAAATTTCGAGAGTTAATATGTAAAATGACAATTGGATGGCTAAGTTGCAATCGACATTGAAGATCGAAATTACAAACAAATCAATTTTAATGCTTAAATAAAAGAAACATACTAAAAATTGGTGAAAAAGTTTATATTTATAATAATGGTTCGTAGTAAGTGAACTAATTGGATTTTCTTCAAAATGTCGGCCTCCCAACAATCAAGGCTAAATACGCCACAGATATTCGTAGTTTGTCAGTTCCTTTGGACGTAACACCTTTCTAATTGAGGATGCGCGATTGAGTGCATTCAGCCATGTGTGTCCAGTAAAACTAATGTGGTTAAGAATAATGACAAAGACACATAGAACGATTTATTTCGGGGAGATTTTTACCGCTACAAGGCGAACCTGTGTTCAAATAATAAACCAGAAAATTACTAAATATAACTGTTACAATGGCTAGTCTTTTCTCTCCACGAGTGAAAAATAATTTGAATAGAACCATCTTTTTTAAGAAGGATTGGTTCCTGACAAACAGAAAATACTGAAATCCGAGTGTCAGTAAAGATTATCTGGCTTGCAAGTCAGTCCATTCAACTTGAGATGTGGTGATGCAAACTATGCACGTCCTCAGAATTTCATTTCATCATGAGGAAACCTATTAACTAAGGACTTAACGCTACGGTACACTACAAACAGTTCAACATTTTATTCGCCACATTTCAGTCGATATAACAGTGCTACGCTTTCTCGTGTGCCTGCTACGATAAAACAATTGATACATAACTTGAAAGTAAATAAGTTGTCTGGAGTTTCAAAAGAAACGCATTATATGCATACTGAGCTCCCAACATAAAACTATAAATTGATCATGAATTTCGATATCGACGTCTTACATGTTTTTACGACTGTTAGTACTCTATTATCGTTCATATACCTAGGTACTTGCCTGGAGGTATTGGTGATCCACTGCTACCAGACACGGAAGCCCGTTAAGCGAAAGCTTCTTCTATTCCGTCCTCAACCATTTGAACCATTTGAACCATTTGAAGTCTCAAGGTTACCTGAAAAAGTGTTTTATAAACAGCTGGAATTTCCGGGGTATTGGGTTGTGGTTCTTTTTTATTTTCACTCGTAAAAACACTTGAGGTGACCATTTAACTAAAAACTTCTCACTTTAAAGAATGTTTAAAATACACAAAATTACATCGAAAACTAATTAAGACCAGCAGATGTACGGGAAAACGCAGCTAACTGTATTGTCTAATCCACGGTAAAGTTATCTCATACGAAACTTTTCGAAAATGTAACCCGTTTTAAAGAAAGTAGTTTAGATCTTGTATCATTCAAATGTGTATCCTTATCTGCTTGGCAACCGCCAATTATATTTCGCATATGCGAAGTATTTTTTTAGTTCGTCCATGAAGTATATAAAATATTATCCGAACTATCTATATTCTGGATTTACTGGGTAGTAATTATACTGAATTTTCGTATTCATTGTTGTCTATATGTGCACGAAGTTAATCATAAGCAACATGGTGACTGAAGTCTATATATTTTTTCTTGCACGGGTAGCGTATGTCTTGCTTTTCTGTATCAATAATATGGAGTGATGTAATCTGTTCAGCCGCTGCATCGTTTGTTCTAGTTCCAACTCTAACCAGTAGTACATATTATCACCCTTTGAATTTCTGATATACTATTCCCAATAAGCAACACACGTTGCCTTCAACTGAAATCCAGTCCTCTCATTGCTTTATGTATATCTGCATGGCCATGAGAAGCTACTGTAAAGTTTTTTGTATAAATCGTCCCAACATTCCGCATTGGTTAGATGTTGATTGACTTACCATATGTATTTACTCCATGCTGTTTTCGGTAACACAGTGGTTTAGGATTTGTAAGTTTTGGCCACTGAAACGTAAGGCTGGAACACCAAAAACACGTTTTCTGGGGGCTGCGAATAACAGTCCATAAGCTCCAGTCGTAAACATCGGTCGCACATACAAAGAAGAGGCTAATAGGGAGGGTTAGTAACAGGAATAGAAACTAGACGACAATATGTTTGATGCAACGGTTAGTATTTAAAATGATTTGCGGACTGTTATTAACTCGTGATGGCTGACTAGGCGACAAATAGTTTTTTATTCGTGGAAGTTAAACATGGAGTCGGGTTGTTTTTTGTAGTTTCATTGACCTGTATTCATTTATGCAAAGCGTGTTAGACAACTGTTCGAGTCTGATCCATCACGGCCTTTTCGTATATTGAGTCCACACATATGTGCTTTGTTTTTGAGTTACCATGAGAAATATCACGATAGGTATAGTTAGGTTGTTGTAAATGAAGCATGTTTCAAAATCTTTGGAAAATAGCATTACCAATGGTGCTATTTATTGGTGAAAACCACCTGATTATTTTCGCAATTTTAGTACAATTAGCAGCAAAACCTAGACTTGGAATTTACTGTATTCCATCAAAATTCTCAAACTGACCCAATTGAAATAGAACAGCAGAAAATAAGTGTTCCACTTCATTTTCCACAAGATTTTCATCACAATAAGCTAGTTTCATGATCGAACCGCTTTAATAGCGTTGGTTACTAGAAATAATTTTATCACTGAACAGTGACATGATCTTGTAGTCTAGTCATTTATAATTTATGGTCAGTGGGTTTAATGAAACATCGCACTATCCTAGTTCTTATTTTCATGACATTACACTATTATTCTAAACTGTCTTAGTAATATAAGTAAACGAAAAGACATTAGTAAAACTATGCAATGTGGGTAATCGTCTATACGCTCTTTATAGATGTGAATCTATCTTGGTGTTTTTCTGTAGATGAGTCGTCTAGATGACTTCAGAGAAGATTGTTTCAGAGCGCACAATGAAAAAAGACTTCTTCATGGTGTATGTGCCTTACGACATAGTCTCGCCTTGGATAAAACGGCCCAGGATTGGGCCCAAGCACTATTGTCAGAAGATGGGATAAAAAATAGCCCACTTTCTAGTCGAGGTGAAGTTGGTGAAAGTATCAGTGTGCGCACAAGCACAGGATCTCATGTGGATATGCAAGGTTATCATTTATGTTTCAACTATATACTGTCTAGGTCATGAAGTCGTAAATACATGGCATTCAGATGCCGAAAATTATAATTATGAAAACGGTAAAGGACCTGCAGGTTAGTCACGTAGCATAACGTTTGTAAATACTTAAGTTAACTTTGAGCTCAGTCTCATCCCTAAAAATTTTCACGCCATACTTTTATTCTCTCACCTAAACAGACAAGTATTTCCCACATTTTAGGTAACTTTACACAACTGGTATGGAGTTCAACCCGTGAAGTTGGCTTCGGTAAAGCCTGTGGTCCTGGAAAGTGTGTCGTTGTAGCGCACTATCGTCCTCCAGGAAATGTACTAGGTCGTTACTTGGAGAATGTTTTTCGTCCAAAAAAGTCAGTGAAGGATGTTAAACAACCAATACGCAACACATTTGCTTTAAATAATGGTAAGTATTCTTTCTGTATATTCTTTTTCATTTCAACATAAAACCCTGTAGTGGAGTTTTACTTCTTCCGAAATTCATCAGGCAGACATCATTACCATAAAAGGAAAAGATTATTTATCACTAATGAACATTCAGATTGTGCAACGCTATAGTGAAAGACTTTATCAACAAGCTAGTGAATTTATTTACTCAACACTAAGCATTGACATTCAAACGACTTCAGGGCCTCCATTATTCCTAATAAGCAGGACCTTTCACTTATGTTACTTATGCTGAATTAAAACTTATTGTTTGCTTATTCGATGAGTTTATGGGTTGTCTGCAAATGTTTTACCAAAGGTATCTTCGTATTATTGGCCACATATGGTGGAACTACCAAGCGAGAAATAGTACAATTAAGCTTAGAGTACTGCATAAAAAGAGAAAGTTTGTTAATTAAGATGTAAACCCTCATCTACTGAGTGGGTTAAAATGTATCTGACTCGTGTAAAACCAATGCCTACTCGGATATACATTTCAAGTTGGTATAAGAGAAGGTCAGGTGAGAGCTAAGGGTGGGTAAATCAAGACATTATGTCAATCCACGAAGTAATCGATTAAAAGTTTATGTTTCTCGGTGTATACTTCTTGGCTAGGGGTCACGCAATACTTGTAGCCGATTGTTCGAAACGGTAAGTAACATGTAAAATTGGGTCATAGGAAGTGGTTAAACTCACTTTCCGCTTTTCTCTAAATTTTGGGTTAAACGTCTTGATTAACCTTTCGTCCCTGGATCTTACCGCTTTTCGAACTGTACCTCTCATATTCAAATTTTGATTAGTTCTGCAACTAATATCTATTCTTTATTTTCACCTTGTTAATCTTCTGTCTTACTGGGTTGATATGAAGTGTGGAAAAAGATTCTTCCCGGGTTCTACATTAACGATGACTGACTTGATGTTGTTTACTGAGTTGTTTATGTTTTAATAAATTTAGAAAGTCCATTTTATCTGGGATATTACTTACTAGTTGAGTAATTTTGTTTTTATCGAATCACCATGTTTTTCTTCCTCAGATACCCCAAAGACAGTTATTACTGAAACACTGACAGAAAGTGATGGGAAACAGTACAGTGTTCGAAGGGAGATCTCTGACTTGACTGATGATAAAGGAAAGGTACTATTCACCTCGTCATTTGTGTTGTTTAATGTTTCCTTAGTTTATTTCTGCTTTTTTTCCATAAATCTTGTTGTGCACTAACACTTAGTTAATCCAAATTATAACTAAGTTAATGAGTCTGACGGAAATCTCAAGCACTATATCTTACTTTTATGTTGGTTTGTTCTCTGAGCGGGTAGACTTCTACCCGAAGTTTGTGTTGATGATGTCGTTCAAAAGGACGATGAAAGCTCCACGACCAAACCATCCAGCTCAGAGAACAAACCAACATAAAAATCACCCACCTGAGCTACAAATCTTCTCCACTATCTCACTATATCTTACTATCACGTCGAACACTAATATGTAAGTCTAAATTAGTGATTTAAAGAAGACTGCTTTCTTTCATCTGTTTTGTGAATTTTGATTATTCAATCAGTTTTCGGAGATCAAAACAGCTAGTATAGGTTTGATTATGTAGCCTGAGATGTGAAGTTTGAATATTTTGAACCCAGTGAGTTACAGTTGTAACTTGTGGTTATCACTTGATTATGTAGCACTTCTAATTAGTATTTATGTTCGTAACCCAATACCCTCTGGACTTACTTTTTGTATACAAAAATAAGGATTGAGATTACACGTTATTACTTCTCCTACGTAACGTAGAAGTTTACTGTTGTTTTACCTTTTTGTCCTTCGAAAAAATCGCACTTGAATCTACTGTTAGATCCATAATCGTGGTGTATCTGCATGTAGTACTACTCGGCAATTGGCTACCGTTCGCTTTCAAATCTACTGATATATATTCAGAATTTCTTTTAAACTAGACTCTCGCTGTTCTTCCAGTGTGAGTGGTACACGTAGATAAATAAATGCAGCTGTATGCAACCATAAAATGTCTCGTGTTTATATTAAACTCTCTGGATAGGCTTTTATGTCATGTGAGACCAATGAATTGACGAAAAAAAGTGTCAGTGCAATTCTAGGTGTTTGAAAATTTATATAACTAGATATTTTAAATGATACATGTGTCAAAAGACAAGGACAGGAATTTGTAATCGATTCGGCGTCATCTATCATGTGGAATATGATATTTAAGACATAAAGGTAAGTATTGTGATTCTAGTTTGGTCAAATGAATATCAGGAAAACCTATGTTTTATCTTTGTAAGTCCGTCTTAAAAATTCCTTTTCTGATAGCTTAAATTGACGATTTAAATAATTCCTCATGACCTCGCTCGCTCGTGCCCGATTGTACCTCACGAGAAAAGTTTAAAAACGTAATGCGGTGGAATAATTTTGAGCATCCTTTAGTAGATTTGGTCTTCTTCAAAATCTACTGTGATTGAATTGCTGTGTCATCCGAGTTGTCTTTAAATGATCTAGAAAGACGACGCAAATTTATGTAATTATGACAGCTCTTAGTGAAAGGATTCTTAATAGTACTATCATAGGAAAGTATCATCGTGTAAGTACTTCCTGAAAAAATTAATGCTAGTACGATTAAATACATTGTACTATTGTAATAAAGCAAGCATAGATTTACTCTACGTATGTCAATGATACTTATATGTGTGTTGATAGTCCACGATGTTTTGCTTTTCAGATATTACTATTTTATTCATTTAAATTTAGAATTTATGTGTGGACATAAGTGTCCGGGCAACATAAATTTCCTGAACTTAAGAACGACAAGAAACGAATATATACCGCTTTCGTGTTGTGTTTAATCTAAAATTCTTTGGATGGGTCAATGTTTGCTTTGCTTTTACTCAATCTCATGTAAACGAGGTTTTATTAAATAGTTGTTCCAAATGTCAAGTAGACGATGTTCTGAAAATTTATCTGACATTGATAAATGGATTAGAACTTTAACCGACAATGGTTACCCTGTAAAGTCAATAGATGAAATTTCACAACTAAACACTATCTCCGTAGACGAAAATGTTAGCTAAATATTCGTTCTTAGTTCTCAGAATAGTCTTTGACTAGGATTCGGCGTTGCACTGGAACTTTTTTCGTCAATTCATTGGTCTCACATGACATAAAAGCCTATCCAGAGAGTTTAATATAAACACGAGACATTTTATGGTTGCATACAGCTGCATTTATTTATCTACGTGTACCACTCACACTGGAAGAACAGTGAGAGTCTAATTTAGAAGAAATTCTGAATATATATCAGTAGATTTGAAGGTAAACGTAAACCATTTGTCGAGTCAATCAGTCACCTACAAAGTAGGACCAGGCTTATGTGTTCATTGGTCCAAGTTTCCATACCTTATTAGCACAACAAGATAGACACCAAATTCATCGAAGCAGTTACTGCAATGATAGTGTATAAAACCAGATCGCATATAAGGATATGATACAAGAAGAAAGAATTGGTTCGTAGAAAGAAAGGTGTAAAGTAATTTCAATCTCACGGTTTAAGGGAAGTCAAAGAGTGTATACACCTACATCATTGTGATTGATTCTGAGCCATGTCACCCACAGTCTCCAGCCACTCGTTACGATAGGCGCGCGGACCCCAACCAATTGGTCTGCACCTACCAACATGGCTCAAACCAAAGGTTAGTGACTTTATGTACTGATGCCACGTTTTGGTTTGGCCGTCCCTAACTTTCTTCCATCCGTCTCCTACACAATGGCAGTCGGTGCTTGGGCATGCGTAATACGTGGTCCAACCATCTCAGTCGATGAAGATTCACAACCTCATCAACTGATTTACCATATTTCCCTAATACCCTGTGTCTAACCTTACTATTACTTACCCGGTGATCCCAGAAGATGAAAGCAATATTTCTCAGACATCTGTGACCAATTACTAGTAACTTACGAGTATATTCCACCCTTAATGACCATGTTTCGCAGACGTAAAGTAGAACAGAACGAATTGCCGCTCAGTGTACTCGTCCTTTAATTGATAGACGGATATCTCGTTTTCGCCATAGGTGACGTAATTCGGCAAAAGCCAAACGAGGTTCTTGAATCTGTTCAGCGATTGCATTAGACAGCAACCCATTAGGGCTGATCAGACTTCCAAGATAAGTGACGTTGTCGACGCGTTCGACTCGGGCTAATCCTGAAGCAACAATTTACATTTAGAGGGGGAGAAACGCATCCCAGGCATCTCGGCATTGTTGCTCAGTGCTACCAAAATAATTCGCATTTTATCAGCGTCTTCACCAAACAGGAGCATTTCATCTGCGTATTCCAAGTCGATAAGTGGACCTCCTGGTAGAAGATCAATTCCTGAAAATTCGGTCGACGAGAACTTTGTTTCCAGAAGTAGGTCTATGATGAAGCTGGACAAAAATGGAGATAATGGACAGCCTTGAAGCACACCACTTGAGGTTGCAAAATCAGATGACAGTTTTTCATAAACTCTGACTTGACAGGTATTGTTCGAGTAAAGAGCCTTGACAAGGTTTATGTACTTCTCAGGTACACCTTTCAATGACAGACACTGCCACAGAACCTCTCGGTTTACAGAGTTGAATGCTGCTGTTAAGGAAAACTATCATTGTCGAACGTCGGTAAGCATGCCTGTGTTCTTAAATCTGACGAATGGGGAATATGTGGTCGGTGCATTCACGACCAGGTCTGAACCTAGCACGGCTTCCTCGTGTTTGCTGTTCACGAGTCTTTGTTGAGCGTCTGATAATTATTTAGGCTAGAATTATATAATTCGTCTACGGTTAACATAGGATGAATAAGTCCTTTCTTATATATTGGGATGATCAGTGATTGCGACCAGTCACGTGGGATTACGCCCGATTCCCTGATTTTAGCTAGAATATTCGTCAAACTAATCTCTAAAACTGTACCACCATCCCTAAAGATCTTTGGAGTTAATCCATCTGGACTATCTGTTCTTCCTCGTTTCAGATTACCAATAGCCTTTTGAACTTCAGTTAGAGTCGGGGTGCCTACTTCAATGTAACATTCAGGCTGGTTGGGAATGGTGGGTAGCTGTAGAGTAGCTGAAGGTCAGCTAAACTGCTCTCTAAAGTGTTTCACCCATCGTTCTTAACGTCGGGGCTGAGAGAAGATAAGAGTGTCCACTTTTCCCGGGATTGTCTCACCCACACTTGACTTCGTAATTCTGGTCTGAAAAACTGTCTTGTGTTACCTACAGCCACTGCCTTTTCCATCTCTTCTGCTTTCGTTACCCACCACTTTTCACGGTCGTTCCTTAGACTTTTGCTTAAACTAGATCTGATTTGTTTACACTCTTTATCGTGTTTGGAGCCTGAATAGGTAAGTTTACGAGAGTCTATCAGTGTAATAGGCTTAGCAGAAATGCACTAGCTTTTTGTGACCCTTTGGTTCAAATCACTAATAGATGTTACTGCTGTTTCCACAGCTGTTTTTATGTCTTTCCAAGCAACATCTGGGTCAGCCTAGTCTTCAAAATGGCCCAAGTGTGACTTCAGTTGTCCCTGGAATTTACCTTTGGCTTTTTTACCGCTGAGTTCAACTCAATAGATATCTTCTTAATATGGCTTTCCTGGGTCCAGTGAGGTGCAAGCGAATGCCTACTTGTATTAGAGCGTGATCAGAGTCTAAGCATGTCTTCCATTAAGCCTCTCCAACGATGACTGATGGCAATATAGTCTATTTAAGTCTATCTTTGGTATAGTGTATGGGATTGTTGAGTACATGCAGACACATCACGACTATGGATCAGATACTAGATTCAAGTGTAGTTTTTTCTTTGTCGATATAATACTTATATTATCCCAAACAGCATTTCCCGTTGAATGTATAGTTGTATTCTCTCGTTTTGGATTAACCATCTAGATTGTTGTACAAGAGATATGCAACATTCTTTTACTCCTTTTCAATGACATTTTTAACCTACTATTTTTGTTTAGACAATATTATTTATTTGCGGTTTTGTTTATAGCATCTGCCAGTTCAAGTAATGGAATGTTACAGCCTATTAACAGTCTGTTTAACTTACGAGTCGCTAGTATAATCAATAAGTCGAATATTTTTGTTTCCTTTTAGAATAAAAAATTGTATTTAGTCGGTCAAGGTAAAAAAGTGGAATATTTCTCCTGTTGTTTTAACAATAGGGTTAGTTTTTTTAATATTCTTATATACGTTGCGAGAGAGGCTCGTTGTGTTATCGAAAAAGAATAGAGACAATTCAGCAAAGCAAAAATCTTAACGATTTCACTTACAATCGTATTTATAATCAATTTACTTGCTAAAAATAGCAGTAAAATAGGATGATGTTACACAATAAGAAAAATAAAGTGGTATCGTGTCGTAAATTTTTTATCAAGGTCATATATTGAAAAAAGTTATGTAATAACATCCTCTAACCCGTAACGAGAATTATGAGGTGAAGAAATTTATGCACTTGATAGCCACCAAGAGCAATATAATCATAAGTTGTAGTAATGGTTTATTAATAGTTGTAAAAACTAATTAGAAAGTAGATAAAAGCGATGGATTACGGAAGACAAAAAGAAAGGTTAAGGCCATGGTAGGATGCGCGATTAAACATACTCTCTTTATAAACAAGGGTGAAGTTTGAATCAGTGAGTAGCTGTAGCCTCTACTGTACATCATTTTTTATTTGTATTCTTTTTGAGCCAATTCTTTTGGCTGTATGAGTAATTTTGAAGAAGGATTCTAGTGAAGCAGAGTGACCAGGATTAACTAGATCTTTCAGGATTAAGTTTTAGATTGGCTTTTGTAGTCCTTTAGATAGCCAGGCAGGGTAATATTCGGAGCTGTGCTTTGATACAGCTCTCTTTGTGCGGTTAATACAGTCTGCTCCACTTAAGCAAGTAAACTGATAGATGCATATTAATGAGCAAATAATGAACTAGTTGCTTAAAATTGTCAGTGAATTGACTTTTGAAATAGAAATGTTTTTTAGTATTGTTATGTTTCTGTTCCATTATTAAAGTTGTTAAATAATTTTACAACTTTGATTCTCCTACATTTCACTTCTCTAAATTTATGTGTTGCATCCTTCACTTTATTTTCTTATAATCTCACGTGATGAATAATGATAACTTTTGTAACTCTTTTGAGTTTAAACAAGTATTAAAGAGTCCATTTCTTTCAATGTAGACAAGGCGATGTATTAACGAAGTCTATACAGATGCTTGTAAAGAGCAGAAAAAAGCGGAATCAAGTATCTCACCAGACGGCCATTTAGTTGTGAGTTTAGAAATCGTTTTACGAGCCTCCATTTTTACTACAGTCGGGTTAATAGTAATCACACGATTTTTCATAAAAATAAACATTTATCTCCCTATTGCTCGTTTTGTTTCAATAATTTTGCCTGTTTTACTATCTATTTTCAAAGTTTGTGAAGTTGATGGTATTTACTGCTCAATTCACTGTAAGGTTATAAATCTGTTTTACTGAGTAGTCTAAAAAATTAAATGAAACATCTATTAAATCCTTTATTGCTTTGTAAAACTCACTCAGCTAAAGCCAATCTATGGCGAACAGTATCTCGGTATTGTAAATCAGTTAGATTGTGGTTTAGTGACGACTCAAAAGTGATAATATTGTCAGTTTATAAGAAGAAAAGTGTCTTTGTAGTATCTAAAGGATTTAAAATGTCTATTTTTATCATACTTTGTGACAAAATACTTCACTAAAGTTGCCGGATGACTAATTTACTCTTCAAATCTTTGTAAAACTATTATTATCTTAATGGTGATGGTATTATTGAATGTCGTTATAAATAACTACTTTTACAGTATTTTTATGGAATAAATGGTCCACTTGAGAGGTGTGTCAAATGTGTAGCTCTTTCAGCAGTACGAATACCAGGTTAATTACGGGGAACAGTTTATCTTGGAAACCTGTTGACAACATCCACCCAATAAACAAGTACACGTCTCTCTGTTTGAATTTTAGCCCTCTGTCTTGCCCTTATTCTTTGTCCAATCCAGTGAATTGAGACAGTACCAGAACTGACTCATAATTGAGTCCACGGGCGATCTTTCCGTGATTTTCTGTCGTGTTCATCATAATTAGTAAACTGCCTCTCTTAATTGAATGAAATCTATCTTAATTATGGTCTGATTCCAACTATATCTTTTTATTAATAATATGCCTATTGATTGATTGGTTGTCCGACTTTTCTCATTTTTATTTCTCCACAATATTATCTTATTTCGTGTGAAACATATCTGGTTGTACTATTGTGACAAGTACTTTTCTGTATAATGTGAATTATACAATAATATGAGCGATAATGGTAATTTCCCAGTGTACTGTAAGCTACTCATTTGTGTAAGGAAATTGATTTATTGATCTCCCTCATTGTTTTTTGTTAAATTCTTATAACATTTAATTATTTTTTGTTAATCGGGTTGATCTTCACCTTGCATATATAACGGTTATATGAACCTAGTATTAGAACGACTTTATAACATTGTTCTATGTGACTCATATCTATTTGGTGCCTCTTTATACCAATGTTTATGTGTCTATACAGGATAATAGCAAGAAACTCCAAGAATCTATTTACTTAGTTGTTCAACTTCATAATCAATATCGTAGTCAACATGGTTCCAATCCTCTAGTACTTGATCAAGTAGGTTAATATAATTCTCATTTTCTACTTTATTACTGAGTAATTAATATATTACTTTTACTATTCGCTTTTAATTTCTAAAAGAAATAATCGTAAACAGAGAGAATACTCACTATCTTGTTAGTTCTTGCTACAGATATTTGGGCTTTATACCACTGAACTGGAATCAACTGGTTCACATTTCGAATTCCAGTCAATTCATAATATAGCCCGATAATCCTTCATTACCCTTGATAGACAACTATGTCATCCTCACTTTCTGCGAGACGTGAATATCCCAAGTTTTCTCCATAGAGTGGTCATGCATAAGTTGATGTGAAAGTAACAAACTACACATTGCTTTGATACACCTTATGAATTCCATTTGTAGTGAGTCCAAAGATACTGAAGTTAAACATATAGAAAAGGAAGTCCCTTCTTTGTAAATAAACTTCAATATACATTTGACTGAACAAGATTTTTCCCATGAATACGTTTTCCAATGTTTTCCAGTTTTACTTAGGTACCATTAACGTTAACTTGATGAATCAGAATATATATATATATATATATATATATATATATATATATATATATATATATATAAGAGAAGGCATTTGGCAGCATGGATAGGAGAACCTTATGGAACCTTCTTCGAAACTATGGTGTACCTGGAAAAATCATCAATATCATACGGAATTCATACTACGAACAACACTGCAAAGTTGTACATGGAGGACGATTAACATATACGTTACACGTGATGACCGGAGCTACACAAGGCTGGTTACTCCCGCCTTTTCTACTTCTTTTGATGGCTGACTGGATTATGAAGACCTCCTCATCTCATGGTAACTCCTGTATACAATGTACAGCTTGCATGCAGCTAGACGATTTGAACTTCGCAGATGAACTAGCTTTTCTATATCATACATATCAACAAATGAATGTGAAGACTCAGTGTCGCAGCCACCTCTGTATCAGTAGGCCTCAACATACACAATTTAAAAAGTAAAATCCTCAAATACAACACGGAGAACACCAATCCAATCACACTTGATGGAGAAACTCTGGAAGAAGTAGGAATTTTCATGTATCTGGTCAGCATCATCGATGAACAAGGAAGATCCGATTCAGACGTAAAGACAAGGATTGGAAAAGCAAGCGCAGCATTCCTACGACTAAACAACATATGGAACTCAATACAACTACAAACCAATATCGAGGTCAATCTCCAATACTAACTTCAAGGCAGTTCTACTATATGTAGCCGAAACTCGGAGAACCACTAAAGCCATCATCAAGGAGTACAAGTATTTATAAATAATTGTCTACGCAGGATACTCAACGTCGATTGACTGGATACCATCAGCAACAGTCTACTGTAGGAGAACAAACCAGCTTCCATCTGAAAAGGAAATTAGAAAAATACACTGGAGGTGGATAGGACATACATTACAGAAATCACCGAACTGCATCACGAGGCAAGCGCTAACTTGGAATCCTGAAGGGAAGAGGAAAAATGGATGACCAAAAACCACATTGCATAAAGAATTGGAAGCATACACCAAAAGGATGAATAGCGCCTGACAACAACTGGAAAGGACAGTACATGATCGACTTTTCTGGGGAATCCTAGTGATTGACCTACATTCCTCCACGAGGGATAAAAGGGGTAGGTAAGCAAGTGATATATAATATATGCGACAAAAGAATAGCCCTTGAAGCGTATATTAGTGATGTAAATCTCCGTTCGGAGGATATGAGCTGCGTTTCATAGTTTATATAGTCTCCCTTTATAATAACATAGAGGCTAACTAAATCTCATTAAGTCATTTAGTAATTTTAGTAATTATAATCTCTAAGTAGGATATTCGGCTTCCTTCACACCAGGTTTTAAGGTGTCCGCTCTAAAACTTAATGGTATGCTGATGAAAGTATCTAAAGGGTTTGAGTGCCCTTTAAGTCATGTGGACGTTATTGGGAGTGTGACAGACGAAATCATTCTTCTATCAACAAAACTCAAGGCATAATGTGCCAGTCCAAATCGTCATTTAAACCTTCACAATTTAACTTGGATGAAAATTCTCAGATATTAGATGCTTCAATATGTGTAATTTTATTCCTGTCTTTGTAAAATATGGCCTCACTAATCTTGGAATATCCTAAGGTTGTCTGTCACTGATCATTCCTATCGACGAAGGATTATCTTCATTCTATGATAACAGTATATAAGTCACCGCAGTGCTTGGAAGTGTGTAATTCTTATGATACATTTTGTTTTCCAATAAATAAGGCCATTATAAACACTTTTCTTTATATCTTGGACTCAATTTACATGCAGCACCCTGGATGTTTCACATTTAAAACTGATTTTGGTTTGAAAATTGAATGGCAGAAGCAAGGGAATAACCAGTTGATTGTGGTGTCGGGTGCAGATTTTTTGATCCATCGTAACTCTCCAAATCCAGTCATTAAAATCACACGGTTAATTCCTTCGAAATTTTATCAGATATAACTTGGATTCGAACATAGTAGTATTTGTTTACTCTTCGTTCTGTATGGTAAAGTCTTTCATTTTATGATAGATAGCGCTTGTTAAGTGCGTGATAAAATAATGTCAGTTTATTTCGGCGACTCAACTATCGTTTGATGTACTTAGTTAGAAAGACACCATAGTTTACTCAAAATAGTTTACTATCTATTACAAAAATTCAAAGAAGAATAAATACTTGATTTCGTTTTTGGGATTCGGTATTGTGAACATAAGTTTGATAGGTATAAATATCCAATCAAGAAGGTCATATTATTTTCCCTTCCCATTCAACTCATCGCCTATCTCAAAATCCAGATGTTATTCTTAGAATTGGGTTGACTGTCACTGAGTAACAAAAACTGTAAATAATAAAGGTCATTTTGCTCTATTTTCGTTCCTTCCTTGATCAAATCTTAGTTATAGCTGTATCTTGAGACTCGTGAAACAGTGAAGTAGTATCTATATCTATATGTTTCTTCTTACTCTGAAGTTTCACACATTCCCTATTTTATGACAGAATCTTTCGAATATGGCACAACAATGGGCTGATCATTTGCTTCAACAATCTCATTTGTCCAATAGTGGATATGCTTATCGTGGTATGAAAGTCGGTGAAAATTTGGGAAGTCGCTGGTCGAATGGACCAATGGAACTTAATTGTAAGTAAAATTAGTTGTTCAACTCTTCATCTTTTTTATGTGCACTTTCCATATTGTCTTCTGTTGTGTGTTCAGATAAATGGCACTTGTTCAATCAGATCACTTCTTATAAGTATAACTATTTTCGCATGATGCAAATCATGTAAGTAAATTCTAATTGTCTTTTCACTTATAATTAGCTTTCAAACGGATTTCTGAAAGTTCTATCCATAGGATATGAAGTATTGCTATGACCGAGCGAAATTAATAGGATAATATAAATGGATTTTGTGTTGATAACACACGAATCAACAATAAATATGATTATTAATCTCACAGTGCATCATATCTGACTTGGGTGTGGTTTATAAGACAATCTGGCCTTTGATTTTGAAGAATTACTATCTATCAAATGTATTGCTTTCAATGTATTTTTTTAATAACCTAAAATTGCAATAAGAAATTAATTGAAATGATTGTGTTGATTGGTGAATTGTCCAATAAGATTATTTAGACCACCTAACGTTATGAATCAAAATATTCAGTAAGATAATTCTATCTCACCAACTAGTGACCTAAAATTTTGGTTTTTAAGTCATCAGCTCCCTACTATTTATGGAATTAACCATGTCAAGCGCAAGATACCGACTCACTGTTAGCGATAAATAAGAATTGTGTTGTTTTACAAATCGACTAATGTTGGAAATATTGTTTAGGCGTATTGTACTTTTTGTGAGGTCTCAAGATTCTCAGTTTGGTTCAATATGAGGTAATATGTGCTCACTGTTGAGCGGTGATGGGCGGAATTTTTCGAAGGGAAGTTCAACTGGCCTGCTGCTCCGGCAACATCAACCAGCTTGTCCTGCCCCCCATGGCCGGTGACGACTGATCCACCAAACGAGGCGGAAGTCCGCAAGGAACTCCAACTCTTGAAACGTTACAAATCACCGGGCCCAGATGACTTACCTCCGGCTCTTTTTAAAGATGGTGGTGACTTTCTGGCTAAGGAACTGACGGTGTTGTTTGCAAAGGTTTGGGAGCAAGAAAGTGTTCCAACATCATGGAATGAGTCAATAGTCGTCCCTATCTTTAAAAAGGGTTCACGTTGTTCCTGTAACAACTATCGGGGGATAAGTCTACTTCCGATTGCGTCCAAACTATTGGCTTCTGTCATTCTTCGTAGGTTGTTTAATGCACGAGAACGATTGACTCGCGAGGAGCAGGCTGGTTTTCGTTCTGGTCGAGGATGCATTGATCACACCTTCACCCTCCACCAAATGTTAGAACACCATCATACTTATCGCAGGCCAACAATCGTAGTGTTTCTTGATATCAGGGCTGCCTTCGATTCGTTGGACAGGACTGTTCTCTGGGATTGTCTATTGAAGAAGGGTGTGCCTGAGAAGTTCATTAACATCTTAAAGGCCCTGTATACGAACACCTCAGGCAGAGTGAGGGCATACAACCACCTTTCTCCCTTGTTCCATTCGAGCAGTGGGGTTAGGCAGGGTTGCCCGATTTCACCATTCCTCTTGAGCGGTACTAGTCCCATATTTTGGCGGATTAACCTAATATTTTTTTATTTTCAATGGTTCTCTAGCTAATACTGGTTTACAGAGAAAACTGTTTTTAAAATAGAATATGAACCATCGCACTTGCAAGACCTTTAAAATTTAAGGTATCACATAATAATGAAGAGTTGTGGTAACTTTTGATAAGGAAAAAGGCTAACGCATTTTTCGTCATAAAAGTGATCATAAGATATTTAAAACAATTAGTCCCTTTGATAAGTCTAAGTAGTGTAATAACAAGACGAAGATTATCATAACTATGCGATCGATCTATTAGTGCGATGCGTTTCGAATCATCTTAACATCAGGATCGCTTTCGATTCGTTGGACAGGACTGTTCTCTAGGATTGTCTATTGAAGAAGGGCGTTTCTGAGAAATGTATTGACATCTTTGAAGACTGTATACACAGACAACTCAAGGAAAGTAAGGGGAAACAACTACCTCTCTTCATTGTTTCGTTCAGGCAGTGAGGTTAGGTAGCGTTGCCCGATTTCACCATTTCTTCGCAGCTTTGCAATCAGTGACGTTCTGGAAATAGCCCTGATAGATGTAGGTAATGGTGGTGTGGATGTGTTACTTGGAGGAAGACTTTCCGACCTTGAGTGTTCAGACGACATTGTCTTACTATGCGATAATACCCCAAAATATGTAATGCGCACTTAATCAGTTAACAATCAGTGTCCGTAGGTATGGCAAGTGCTTTGCACCTTCTAAATGCAAGTTACTTATACAAGACTGATAGAACTTTGTACCTACACTCACTCTTGGTAGTGAACAGTTAGTAGTCAAGAAGTTCGTGTATCTGGATAGCTGTGTAAGTACCGGTGGTTGCGTGAGAAATGAGATCAATTCACGTATAGTGAAAATCATAGCGGCTTATTCCAATCTGGGATATCTTTGGCACCTTCATAATATTATTCTGGCTGTAAAAGTTGAGATCTAAAATGCGTCGGTGAGAGCAGCTTTGCTCTTTGATTGCAGAAACTGACCTCTCCGAGTTGAAAATATTGGACGACTCTGTGTATGAACATCGTTTTCTTCGAAGGATTGCTGACATCCACTGGCGACACCGTGTGTCCGGGAACAGCGACGATAATTCAATTGATGTCACTGTCTTGAAACATCGAATTCGGTGGCTTGGGCATATCTTACGAATGTCGTCCCAGCGATTCCACATGATGCATTATTTGCCAACACTGGGACTAGTCGGAAAAATGGAGAGGTGGTCAATTCACAACATGGTGTTGTGGTACGAAAGAAAGGTGTACAGGACTGGCATCTGTTAGACCCCCACGACTCCCTGATTAAAGTGACAGGGGAAATGCAACCCAGTCTCTTGAGACGTTATCAGACATGTCTCAGAATAGAAGTGCCCCTTTTGTACTTTTGTTTATAAAGGTAAAAGTAACTTCTTTAACTTAAAGAATCCTTTTTGGTTGTATTTTACTTAACTGAAGTGCTTCTGCCATTATTACAATGATAATTATTATTATATTTAATTCACTTGCATACACTAATTTCTATTCATTTTTGTTCTTTTTTATTATACTCAACTTCCTTTCTCTGTCTCTTCACAATCCCATTCTTATCGTGTGCTCCATATATCATATGGGGCTTCTTTGTTCCAATATTTGTGTTCAAGTAAATGAATGAAATAATCTAATCACGTGTAAGTTTGTGGCTACATATACACTGGGAGGAGTAACCGTGATTTGCAATTTTGGGGTCTTTGAAGATTTACTGAAGTGGCTACAGAAACTAATAAAATCAAATGACATAATCGAAGCAGATGATAATCATCCATCGTTGTTTATTGCTAAACAGATAATTGAAACAGGTTATAAGATTGACCTTAACTCAGCATTTGTGGTTTTGCACAAAAGTTGTCTAGGGGATATTCTTAAGTTTTTCGGAACCTTGGCCAAACGGAAATTTAAAACCCTTCTATTTGTTCAAAGACAGTTTGTTCTCACTCTAAACCTACCGTGGTAATATTGCTTTACTTATCCAGAGTGGTGAGTTTCACATCATTTTTAACATTGTCTTCTTTGTTTTCATTTATATAGTTGATATTTTGTTTCTTATATATGAATATTATTAGCAAGTACATTTGTGATCAGATTGTTTCTTTTTTATTAAGGTAAAGACCTAATTGAACATTGGTATCAAGAATCGGAAAAATATAAGTTTAACTCTGAGCCGGATAGTATTCAAGGCATAGGTAATTTGTATGAACTTGATGACTTTATATCGTGTGATTTACCCATTTTGATAAACTTTTGCTAAATCTATGGTTATAGTTTTCTCAGATTCCTATATCATGATTCTGATCGTTAGTATGTTTGTACTCAATTGCTTATGGTCAAAAGATTCCTTTCATTTCAAGAATGTTATTTGAAGCAATATCATTACCAAATTTCTTATTTACATTAGAACCTTATCATTCCGTAAATATTTTTGTGTAATTATCATACAGCAATGAACTCAAACCTAGTTATAAAATAGATGGAATATAGTTGGTATTAGAATCCAGGACAAAAGTTTCGTCCCATTCTGGACTCATCACCTGGCCAACGCGATTGCATTTGGAATAAACGGTGTTGGGCTCGAGTCCCTGGAGTGAACACCAACTCTATAATGCAGGTACATCCTGCTGACGAGTTCGAAATAGGACGAAACGCGTGTCCTGGACTTCATTGCTAGCCACGTTCTATTAATTCTATATCAGCTTATGTCCCCAAATACCCTGGTACATCCAAGAGTGGGGGGCCGCCCTCTTTCTCGAAATGCCCTCACACGGCCACGCGTATACGGCCTCTGCCAGGAAAGTCCTACTCACAGCCTTTTCTCAGCGGGGGTGTTGTTTACGAAATTGAGAGGACGAAAAGCAAATATTTAACTGGGCTGGTGGACACGGAACGTCCACCTAGAGGAGTTGGAAAACCCTGTCCACAAACCAACGATACACACGGGCCCCAGTATCCTAAGGGAACAAATGGCGTATGAATCAATCGTTGTCAACCGGCTTCCATCTGACTGCATCTCCTAACATTGCTTCACTGCCTTGTGGATCAGACCTGTAGGTCGAAGGCTCGGGCTGTGGCCCCCTAAGAAAACCACCTGCTTCGGTCTTGGCATCCGGGTAGTATCATAGTTCTCACACAATTAAATGAAATGACAATTTTCTGTGCGGCGCATATATATCTGGTGCCCCCTTTTACCAATATTTATGTGTTCAAATAAATAAAATAATGGCTATATCAAAGCAATATTTATTTATTATTATTTAAACACATAAATATTGGTACAAGGAAGCACCAGATAAATATGCGCCTCACAAATCTCATTCAATTTGTGTGAGGGCTGTGATACTGCCCAGGTGCACAGACTGAAGCAGGTGGTTTTCTTAGGGGGCCACACCCGGAGCCTTTGACCTAAAGGTCTAGTCCACAAGGCAGTGGAGCATCGTAAGGAGATGCAGTCTCATGGTAGCCGGTGACCAACAGTTGGTTCATACGTCATTCGTTCTTTCAGGATACTGGAGCCCATGTGTACCGTTGGTTTGTGAACAGGGTTTTCCAACTCCTCTAGGTGGACCTTCTGTGTCCACCAGCCCAGTTAAAGAGCTAAATATTCGCTTTTCGTCCTCTCACTTTCGTAAACAACACCACCGCCACGAGAAGGCAGTGAGTAGGACTTCCCTAGCAGAGGCTATATATTCGCTGGCCATATGAGAGCATTTCAAGAGGGAGAGCAGACTCTCCCCACTCTCGGCCGTACCAGGGCATCTGGGGGCAGTACACACAAGATACCCATGTATGTGCTAACCAAGACTGATCGAATTGCAGTCGATAATATAAACAGCAAGATAATCCAAAACCATGTCAGATCTAATTTAGCCAATCGGAAGTACGATTTTAACCAGTTTTCATAAGCTTTTTATTGTGTGAGAATTCTGCTGCTTTTATCATTAGTGCAAAATGAAAAGTGCACTTATTTTACACTTGAATAAATTCTCATATAAGCCCTGTTTCTACATTTGCATAAACATAAAATCCTCTTCAATGATCTTTTGTAGTCTATGAAATAATCAGTCTGGAGAGTCGTCAACCTGTTTGTTTGTCAACTTAGTTAATTCTATTCAATAAGTCTCATTTACTTTGTTATAAGTATATTGTCGGAGGGCCAACACTAATGTTTAACTTAGTATAGGCCTCTTAAGTTCTCTCTGTAGCTTGAGTGATAAGATAAGACGAACAACAAACATCTCTTTGTCTGTACTTCTCACCAAGTTCATCAACGCACTGAAGGGTTTTTACTTTACTACTGTTGGTAGGACTAGGGCTCGTGGTGAACTACTGTCATCCGAAGTAGCTACATCGAGAACTCCCTGTCTTCACCAGTTGGCATTATTTTCGTCCTACATATGGTCCCGAAAATACATTATTCTGCATCTCGAGTTTTCAAGGTCAGAATAATACTAGATGCCAGTACGATTTTTCACTTGATGTTATTTGAATTATGTAACATAAAAATGCCCGCGTTGCTCTTTCGATGGATGTGTATTGACACTAGAATTTATTTAGTGGGCGAAATAATGGATTTCTAAGTTTCACAGTGTAAATGTAACTGTTTAGTGGCTGAATGAAAAGTCTTTGCCATCACATGACTAATTTCATCGTCATTTCCTATTATTGGTTAGTGAGTATCATTGATTTGTATAGAAATTGCATTTGTTTATATCTGAGAACTAAAACATTAAGCTGTTACGTAGAATTGCATTTATTATTGATCATCATGTTAATTGCTTTAGGTAATTTCACTCAAATAGTATGGTCAAGTTCTGAAAGGATTGGAGTTGGTATTGCAATTCAATCCTACAAATCAGGAGAGGATTTGCATAAAGATTCAAAAATGATTTTAGTTTGTTTATATCATCCTCCAGGGAATGTGATTAGTCAATTTCAAAATAATGTTAAAAAAGCTATCAAGTAAAATACAGGTGCATAATTTGAACAGTTAATGAACAAATATATCTCATTGCATGCTGCTATTCTCCAAAAAACCTTTTTTGAATTCATAATATTTTTTATTTCTTGTTATCATGTTTCTTCAAAAAGTTATTTTATGCACCATCTAGATAATTTTGATAATCTTTTTGTTTTATTCATTTTAATCTTATACTACTTGAAATGTATCAGTGATTTTTTTGATTATTCTAAACATTGAATATTAGATAAATTAATATACTTGTAAAACAGTAATTTCCCTTTACATCGGTTTCTAGATGATAAATCTTTAAACTATCGTTTTCAATATATAAAAACAATTCGCTTGAATTTACTAATAACCAATTATACTTCATTGAAGTTCAATCATAATAGCTTTATTACAAGGGGGTTTTGCGGAGATTTTAGTAATTTTATATAGTTAAGATCATGAGTCAATTGAAGCTAGACCACCATGGAAAACCTGGACGGCCGTTTCGTCCTGGGTTCGAATCCCGCGAGGCGGGATCGTGGATGCACACTACTGAGGAGTGTCATAATAGGACGAAACGGCCGCCCAGTGTCTTCAGGTTTTCCATGGTGGTCTAGCTTCAATTGACTGATGATCTTAACTATACAAAATAGCTTTGTTCGAAAGCTGTTACAGCTTAAATAATCCTTCCTGTTTTTAAAAAAATGATACCACTCGTAAAGAGATTATCAGAAGTATATAAATTACAGAGAAGGGCCAAGTTATATTTCGGGTGATTTTGCGTCTATTTGTTAATATGACAATTTGTAAGTTAAATAATGCTAGTGAGCATCAAATTTATTACTTTTACGTTCATGTTATTTTTGGTAACTACAACAAAAACCCACATAATCTAAAAAATCTCAAAATATAGTCAAAACAGATGGGAAGAAAACTGATGGGCTATGTAATCAGATAAAAACCTAAGTTTATGGAACAAATTTACAATACAAACTTCATTCTGACTAGTTACTTGTTAGAGTAATAGAAGTATAACATACATGTGAATTGAAATGCAGGAAATTTCGAGTATATTCTCTACCAAATGGAACAGCAAAGTAAATTGTACTATGGAGGTACATCTTGCTTCGTAGCAAGCTGCATATGCACAATATATCACTAGGTCAAACTAATGAGGGATGTAATATAGTATTATGAATTTTTTATACGTGAACCCAAAAATTTGGTGGCGGATCATCTGTGAGGAGTTTTCTGAAGCATAAGGAGTCCGTAATATATTGGCTTATCTTGACCTTATTTGTTCGCATCTTTGGGGAGTCAAAAACCATCCTATTTGTTGTCCTAAAAGACTCACGTATAACTCCTCTTAGTTTAAAACTCGAATTAATAACTAGAAATACTCCATTCCTTTTGGCCGTAATTAGCCTTGTTTAGTTGGTTTTATGCGGTTTGCGAATTGTTCAAATCTTCATTAGAATTTAGAAACTAAGGTATTCCGTAAAAAAACCCAGCTATTTCTTGACGTTCAGATAAGTGTAAGTGACTTACATGAAATGGGGAGAAAAACTCGGATGGCTGTTGAAAACGTGTCAACTGATTTCTCACCAAAACGATATCCCTCATGGTTATATCGATGAGAACCTAAAAATTCAAGTGCCACTGTAAATTGAAGCTTTTATAAGAACAATTTGCACCTCATAACGGGGAAGCAAGCGTTTACTTGTACGGGCGCTATGTACAGACCATTATGATTTCCCTCCAGTCAAACTTAATTGATACTTATCACAAAGTAGTTTTTTCTCTTCTGACAGGCTATATATTGAAGACGATGGGCCCATGTCTATTGCAGATTCCAGTCAATTATAGCTACAAGACCTTACAGTCGTGGCACCGTACTTGAGTGAGGTTGTAGACATGACCCGTTGTTGAGTCTAAAAATCTTGCCAGACAGTCGCTCATCGCAGATGTTAGTCCATGTTCGGAAGTAACTAAGCAAAATCCCTAACGTGACGTGATGTAGCGACAAAGAAACTAGCAAGTAAACGCGACTGGTTCTCTGCGATCACCACTGTCCTAGAAATCTTGATACAATATCGGATGACGTAATAAATTTTTTTATGGCTTCCGTTGCCTTGTTCTATAATTTAAAGGCGTTAATTTGTCATTTTTGTTTCATTTGTTTATTGTAGGAGGGTTTCACCATGGGTCGATATCAGCTAGTGTACTACTGAAAACCAGGGAGCACTGAACAGTAGTTCCAGCGCAGTAAGAGACCCAGGTACGCGCGCCCACAAGCCGTCATAGATTAAACTGAGGATCGGCAAGTCTCGCACATGTAGTTAATTACTGGACCACCTAATTTGAGATTAAAAGATCCTTAGTCGTAACTCTAATCAGTTCGCGAAATAGCGCGATGTTAATCCGTTGTAACTGATGATAACTGTCTTACTCCTGACATGACTGAGCTCCATTGACGGTATCACCAAAAATCAGACAACACTGGTCGACCATTATTATTTAATAGTATATTTTACTAATCTCCAGATAATGAAACCTTGCTTGCAACTGGACTGCCGATTTGTTATGGCTGTTAATTTTTCTGCCCAATAATTATCCTGATTTTTGAAAGATTAACTTCCACGCAACTTCCCACCTAAAATCCTTTGGTTACGCATGCGAATGCTACTATTCACATTTTTGTAATTATAAGAAGTGTTCACTTTTTGATGAGAAATTTTAGGGTAATGATATTCGATGTAACATAAAACAGATACATTCTACATGTCGCCAATGATCTACATTATTACGACAGCGTCATGGCTAATAGTTTGTACAAGATCCCTTTCGATTTTAAAGCCATCAAATTACATAATCAGAGTAATTGTTACTTCAGAATATCACTAACCGGATGTTAACAGTTACGTGTTTAATACTACATACATCGATCAACTCGTCACCAGGGCAAAAGTATCTTATAGGATATTTACTGTAATTAAATTACCTTAGATAATACTGCACAGTCTATGGATGTTATATTTCATATTGCAATGTAGATATTGATATTTCATAAAAAGATAAGTAATGTACAGTATACTAAGAGTTTTTGTTTTGTTTAACAAAACGTTCTATATCTTTATCACGTAGTAAGGCTGCAGACTTTGATATTGGTTTGATAATACGGCCTGACTGAACTGTGACTTTGGGCCTTGTTAATTCACGATGTGTAAGTTCTGTTGTCCATTCTCTACAAATAGGCTGAGAGATAAAAGCTTCAAATTGTTCTGGTGTGTTGTATGGGAACGGAATAGTTTTTACCTAGCAAAGATTCAAGTGAAAAGAATTGACGGATGGTTGCGAAAAACCAAGGAAATGCATGAATATATATATATATATATATATATATATATATATATATATATATGACATACCAAGTGTTGCTTGAAGTCTTGATTTACACGCCGTTTGATGATTACGTGAGGTTTTTTATCATCTTCACGTTTTACTTTAGGGGCAGGTATAATTCTGGACTTCCGCTTTCTTTCATCAGCCTTCTCAGTTCCTGGACCTGTCCAAGAATTCCATCCAGGCAGAAATGTATCAATATCTTGGGGTGCCTCATCTTTTACAGTTTCAGATTTCTCGGCAGAAAACTTCTGTTGTAATGTAGGATCATTTGCAAAGCTTTCTTGAAGTGCATGGAAAAACCCTTCTGAATTAGGATCAACTATATCTGATTCTGCAGTCACACCAGTATTGCACACTACTGGTTCATTTAAAATCATCTGATTGACTTCATATTTTTCTAGCACTTCTTCAGCTGCCTCAGTAGAAAGCACAGCTCGATTAGTTGTCTGATGTTCGGTCTTTGATTTGTTCTTGGATGAGCTCTAAATGGAGAAATAATTAAGAACATTCATGACCATTCAATTATCTAAAAGTGAACTATAATACATATTATTCATTCATTGAAAACATGACTGTGTATTTCCAAAATTAAATACTAACACTGCGAAACGAATACCGATACGAGACTCGGGAGAGGAAGTTGGATTTTGTCGTACAAAGAAGTTGGAAGCCACACAGGGGGAAATAAAGTACAAGAATATTTTAATCTATGATGTCTGTAAGAGTTATGCGCCGCGTACGAAACCCTTATGAATAACCGTAAATTAAAGCAATCAAATGAGAAAATCATAAGGATATATATATATATATATATATGCAGCTTTTAACTTTTGATCATTTAATCTGAACCGAAATACAAAATACATCTCGTCATAATTACACCATCAGGTGGTGTTAGTGGTAGGTTACGCATTTAAATAGGAAGCATTTTCGGGTTTAATTGCATTCGCTAAACTCTAACTGTAGAGCAAAAAGGTGAATTATATATTAGGGCAGAAGTATCTTCTTACAAAATGATTCCGAAAACCTATTATAATTGTACTATTGCACGATGCGACCGTACACAAAACTAATGAACTGGTTGACTAACAAAATGGGTACATATATGCACTAGTCAGAGTTGTTAAACTCCAACATAATGAGAGAATGAGCAAGATGAGAATCAAAAAATTTAATAACAACGACGATAGTGGATAAATAACCACGAGAAATATAGTTGGTACGTGGTTCCTGCTAATATGAGATTTCGGGAAGACTGTAGCTTTCCGGATAAGTGGAAGGGATGATTAGAGAACGCAATTACTATTTTACTGAGCATTTAGCTACACACCACACTCTAACTACAAGGGGTAATTATGCTACCCGGTTATACAAAGAAAATAGGTGGAACAGTGTTCGAACCTATGACCTGGTGGTCGGGAATCAAAAAACCACCAAGCCACGACGCAGCCAAAATATGCATGAAATATATACTACGTTATTATTAGTGGATTTCCTAGACAGTATAAATAGCGTGAAGCAAGCGAAGTTGTTCATAGCTTGCAAAAAAATACATTTAACAGGTAGTGTATGTAGAAAACTGGTCACATTTTACCTTTTTCCACCAACCGAGGGTTTGAGTAACACCATTTACTTCTTCGTCAGCATCATCTTCTAAATTAAAATCAGACCCTTCTGATTCCCCCTCAGATTCAGATGATAAAGATACATCAGATTCATCAGTGTCAGACAGAAGGTCGGGATCAATCCTTCTTGTGGTCTCACGAGATAACTCGTGCATGTCTGCTACTGCTGCTCTAGCCTAATAAGATATAAGTTAAATTAACATATAGTTACCTCAGAATCATACTTTGCTCTCAATTTTTGTAATTTTGCAAACTTACTACCACCTCTATGTTTCAGACTGGCTCTTTCTCTGACTCTACTTAATTCGGCACTAAGAAGACGTTCAGCAAACTTCCGAGGATTATTGAGGCGTAATGACTCAGTTTCTTTTTCATATTCTTTCATAGAACGTGCCTTCAGATGACGATGGAATCGTTTGCTTTTAATTTTATTTTGACGCTTGTTACGGGCAGCAGCTCGAGCAAGTAAAAAACGTTCTCTATCACGCATAGCAACCTTTTCCAGTAACATCTTGGAAACCATCCTCGCTGCCTTGTCTGAAATTTCTTCCTGAGGTGTACTAAGAACTAACAACATGAAAGACGACTAACCTTGTGTCCATATCTTTATACAGTGCATTATATAATTTCCCCTGTAAATTTGTCGAGTCTTTTATGGTATCCATAACATAAACTTGCTCTTTCATTTTTGCAGCATCTTGGGAGGCTGACATAACGATTTCTCTGTCATTTATTGGAAAAACGATTTGTTCTGCAAGACGATTTTTGTGTACAGGGCCTTTCCAGAGATTAAGCTGACGTTTAACTCCTCTGAAAGCTATCCTTCTGGCTTTTCTTGCATCCTGAATCTCGTCAGTTTCATTCAACACCTCGTTGTGTCTGTGAAACTCGTTTAGAATTTTCCTTTGGGCTTTTCTATCGCCCTTCTTCAAACTTACGAGACCCCAGACGTTGGCATCCTCAACACCAGGTGCTGCACACTAGGGATTTTGAAGCTCGATTTTTTGTGAACAACTAACCTCCATCATCGTCAATCAAGGAGAAAAGCGAAATGGTCACTTCCGTTTATTCAGGTACAATAATATCACACCAATAACGACAGAACGCTCAGGGGATTGGAATATACAATATAATGCTCACTAAACCCATAAGGAAAAAAGGACTTTTAGACGATATCACGGAAACGTACATAGAAAACGGAAAAATAAGAACGGGGTTTAAAATACATAGGGCTCAAGATATATATTAAAAATAGCCGGCTTTGTTTCGGTAGTTTTGTAATTTAAGTTGTGATTGAGGCTTTCACCGTCATTCAAAACATCAGTACCAACAGCATCAACCAATCTACTAACATTCGAGGGTTGTAATAATCGGATACTAGGTACAAGAGCTAAATTTACCAGAAGTGAACGGGAGGTCATTACTAGTTAATTACGTAACTGTAAACAGTTAATGACTGAAGAACGACATATGTTATAAGGACATTATTAACACTTTGTTGATCTCCAACGAAATTTAATTTACAAAACTCTAAAAACCACAAACTCATGTCTGTTTACAGACCTTATGGAATTTAGGAAATTGCTATATGTATTGTTCCTGATACATCAAGTTTCTCATAAAACACACTGAAGATGAAAAATTGTTTGAAATTTACGAAACACGAAAATATAAGGCATTAAATGACAGCAAAACATTCGGAACCCACGAAAAACCCGAGCACCATGTTTAATGGTAGCCCTATTTTTGAAAAACTGCTCAAATCCTTTCGATGTCCGAAGTGACTTTGTTGAAATGCTTAACAATGGCCGATTTTATAAATAAACGATCTGATTACTCATATATTTTAGTAATACTTTTTTAGTTTTGTAAATCTTTGCTATCAACTACAGATTAGTTATTTATATTCAGCCTTCACATTTTCCTTAGTTTTTTTACGTTGCTATAATGACATACTGGTTGGTGTTCGAAACCACACGAATGTTTACATACTCCTTGTCCTTAATTAAATCATGGATATATTTGTTAGATACATCTACAGACTACAAATGTCTCCCCAATGCCATATTATATCTGAAATGTTATTTTGACTTAGGTTTCTTATTTGAATTTATTAATCGCATATCTTGGTTATGAATCCAGAGACCGAACCGAACACAATGAAGATGACGGTAACCAGATGTTACGCTGGTATGTGCAGTATTTTGATCAGCCACTACTTCAGTATTCTAACTTCCGTACTGCAGATGGCATGTCGACTGATTTGTGTTCATTCTCGCGATTATTACTGTTGTGAAGGGATAGCATCCTATTAAAATATTTTATTTGCCAGGGTTATAATACTTCAAATATGGCACAAGAATTCAGATTTTAACAATGACTTAACCAGAAACACCTTTTACGATCGAAACGTGCCAACTCAGTGAAATCAGAAGTCAGAAGTGAAGAGGTCCGAAGATATATTTGGTAGAATACCGACATAGCGTGAAGTGACTAATCTAAGCCAACTAGAGATTATGGGAGAAGTGAAGCATGACGTATTCACCCGTGATCTGGTGCGGACGCATGACAGGGGGATTCAGATAGGTGAGTTCAATAAAATTAATGCGGTCCGCAACAAATGTCAAAGATTTACAGAGTTATTTTTTGGTGGGATTTATTTACCGCTACAATACTTTTCTACCATCTCCATCACTAGGTTGGCCTGCTTGTCCTATGTTTCATGAACGTTCATTAGGAGAACTACTAATTCTCGCAATTATGATGTCCAGTATTGACAAAACTAGGTCCTGGTACAACAAGTAAACGTCAATTTATACAAACATATCCTGTTACGTAAAGAAGAATTTGCAAATAAAATACTGTTCTAGCGTAGCTGTAAACAAATCCCCAAAATCAATAGCTCTGTAAGTGTTCGACAGTGGATGCTAACCACATTAGTTTTAGTGGACTCATTTAGCTGAAGGCGCTCGGTCATGCATCCGTACCAGGTAACGTTTCAGAACGGTATACCAACCTATTAACTTTGAGCCTGTTCCTTTTTGGAATTTCATAAGTCATTGCTACATTTTGACTTATATATATTCTGATATTTTTTTTCGAGTTTTTGGGTTTATTTTAATTATTTATTTCTCGTTCATTATAATACTTGACTTTTCACTATTACGGAAGAGACACTCAAAGCATTTAAGTTAGAGACTATGCCACCACCCTCGTTTCAACTAATGTCTTTTTGGCCGGACAGTATCGAAGTCTGGTTTTGCTACACGGGCACGGGATTACAGACTCACGCACACAGTTCCTTGCGGTTTTTAAGGCACAACCGCGCTATTTCAACAGGTACTTAACACATAGTATGTTTACTAGTGATGTTTCGGAACCTTACAAAACGCTAAAACGATCCATTCTGAGACGCGAAGAGCTAAACGATCGACGAAGGTTAGACTAACTCCTTAAGAACATCGACTTGCAGCATGGTTCTGTGACAGATATGTCGCTAAGGATGAGAGAGGTGATAGGTCAAAGAACTTTCAACGAAGGCCTGTTCAAACAGCTATTCTTATCTAAACTCCTGCAACAGGTGCAAGCAGTTCTGGTCTCGTTTCAATAGCCGTAGACGAGCTGGCTGCATCTGCCGAGCGCATCAAAGAAATCACGAAATCTCCTAACCAGTATGCGAATTCTTCCAGAAATTGTAGGAAACCCTGCAATTACCCGAACCTAAAATCGATCGACACGAAAAACAATTTAGGAAACTTCCCAGCCGGCACGCGTTAACGGCAACCGTAGCCGACGAACATTGCCGTCTGCTATACGTCACGGACGTGACAACGAAGGTTCACTACCTCGTCGACACTGAGGCAGAAGCTACCGTTCTTCCTGCTAATGCTAACGCTAGGCTTCACGAGTCTGTTTTGAGCTTACAGGCGGGAAATGGAAAACCGATCGCCACATATCGGATAAGGTACGTTTATCTTAACGTGGGTTCACGCAAACCCATCCACTGATGCTTCGTGGTTGCAGATTTTTCTATGCCAATCATTGGTATAGACCTGTTACAAAACCACAATCTACTCATTGACACTCGCTAACGACGGTTGGTAGACGGAAATACTAACTCCTCTTTCTGGTTGCACACTATCCCCAGTCACAATCAAGCACGCCATTGACCCATTATGTCAACCATTACTGGATAAGCAATCTGGGATATTTCAACAGCAAGCGAAATAGCTGTGTGCAACCAGCAATGCTGCACATCACATCACGACTACAGGACCACCTGTATTCTCGAAATCACGCCGACTGGCTCCCAAAATGCTAGAATTGTCTAGAAACGAATTCGACCATATGATAAAGTTAGGAATCATTCAACTGTTAAACAGCCCATGGGTATCTCCTTTGCACAAGTTCCCTAAAAAGGACAGAAACGATTGCCGTCCGACTGGTAATTATCGGCGTCTGAACGCTAAAATTATTCCCGATCTTTACCTGTTGCCTCACATTCACGATTTGAAAGCTACATTGAAAGGTACAACTGTCTTTTCGAAAATCGATTTGGTTAAACCTTATAACCAAATTCCTATGGCTGATGACGATATTCCAAAAACCGCTATCATAGCTTCCTTCAGACTCGACAAATTTTTACGAATGCCTTTCGGTCTAAGAAATACTGCCCAAACATTCCAAAGGTTCATCCATGACGTTCTCCTAGGGCTCAATTTCGTACATGCGTATGTTTATGACTGTCTGATAGCAAGTCCGGACAGAGAATCCCACCCCCAGCATCTGGACATTGTTTTCGATCGACTTCAAAGTCATGGTACTACTGTCAACATTCAGAAATGCCAAATCGGAACCAACTCCTTTGACTTCCTAGGACACATTATTGATGCTCAAGGCATCCAACCCCTTACAAGCTAAGTGGCGGCCTAGTAAGTTTCTATTAACTGTTCATACCGAAATGCGCATCACTTATCGAACCGTTAACTGACCAACTTCATGGAAATGCGAAATCAATTAACCAAGACTACACCGCCCGGAAAGTATTCTCCACAATTAAGGAACTCATCACAAAGGCAACCCTGCTAGCACATCGGGACACTAAAGCGCCCATTATTATCGCAGTAGACGCATCAGACTCAACAATCGGAGGAGTCTTACGACAATGGGTAACAACTCTTGCCAACCTTTAGGACTTTTCTCGAGACGGTTGCTAAACACTGAATTGAGGTACAGCACGTTCGGTAGGAAACTCCTAACTATGTATTGTGCTGTACGGCGTTTCCAAAATTCACACCCTTTACCAATCATAAACCTCTTTCCTTCTCTTTAAGCTCATCTTCAGACAAGTACTCACCGCGAGAGTCTCGACTACATTTCTTAGTTTACTTCAGATTTACAACACATTTCTGGAGCAAACAATATAGTGGCAGACGCTTTGTGTCGTATAATTTCCTTGAACAGTTTCCAAGGAATCGACCTTCTTAAACTCTCCCAACATCAAACAGAAGGCACTGGTCTTAAGCACGAGTTATCCTCAACAATTCTAAGACTGCGTAATAAACAGATGGGAACTGTGTAAGGAAACCTTACTGTGCGACACATTTACAGGTAGAGATCGCCCAATCGTACTAAAGCATTATCGACGCAACATCTTCAATACGTTGCACAAATTTTCTCATCTAGGTGTTCGTGCATCCATCAAGCTCATAGCAGAACGCTTTTGCTGGCCTGGTATGAATAAAGACGTGAGGGAGTGGGTACGTTCCTGAAATCTAAGGTGAATAAGCACAAAAAATGTCCCCTAGGCTCTTTCAAAACCCCTGATGCTTGGTTTGACCATGTTCATCTGGATTTTGTAGGAACTTTACGAGATTCAAGTGGATACTCATATCTCTTAACCTGCGTAGACCGTTTTACTCGATGGCCAGAAGCAGTACCTATTAAGGACATTACTGCTGAAACAGTGGCTCGCGCCTTCGTCGAACGATGGGTAGCGAATTTCGGCTGCCCTTCCGCCATCACTACAGACCGCGGATGCCAGTTCGAATGTGGACCACAATATTCGTTTATGGAACGACACTCCGACTCCCAGGAGAATTCGTGGATCGTTCGTCTACTTCAATGCACCCACGCGAGCAGGCTTACAGACGCTATGCGTTCAGTTAAACCTGCTTCCACTCGACCGCAATCAACTGATGTTTTCGTTCAATCCGACTTACGACATAGTACACATGTCTTCGTTCGTCGAAACTCACATCGACTACCCCTCGAATCAGCATGCGAAGGATCCTTCAAAGCTTTTTAGTGTGAACCGAAGTACTGTACAAGTATTAACAATGTCTGTTTGCTCCTTCACAAATTCGCAAAGATCCTTGAGTGAAAGCTCTCTAACTGTCTTAAGAATCCTACGTGCATCTTTAACCCATTCTCTCTGTGTTATGGGGGGTTTAAGAACAAACATTGGGTGGTCCTTGTAGAATTAAGATCGGGTACACAGTTCATCTGCCTGTTAGCTCACAAATATGCATCTCATGAGTCTTCTTAAACTATCAGTCCCCTTGGTATCAGGGATGTTCGGAATCTTATCAATAAATGCATGGGCTACGATGTGCTTCTGATTGGATGCTTCTTCGCGAATCTCTAACGCCTGCCTTTTTCTGGCTAGAGCAATGCACAATGATAGCTTAACTTCACCATTACAATACTAAATCATATAGTCTAACCTAGATCGGAATCCAACTCTTTCACCAAAACGGTCTTCGAAATTTCGTATGAAACTCCAATAGTTCAAAGGATTACCATCAAACCTTATATTTCTTTTTGGTAGGTCTAAAGCTCTAAATACCATTGTTATTGTCCTTTTCAGGAGGAATATCAACTGAATGTGAGACAGATATACACTCGTACGACGTCACCTTCTCAGCCACAACTTGACTATTATAATCTCTTCCTTTTTGATGTAACTGTTCCAACTCAATTTCTCTTTCTAAGCGTATTTTAGCTAATTCTAAAGTTTTAACAAACTGTAGGCTTATTTACTGATGAATGTGAGGAAATGTGCCACAATTCTATCACCCTCTACACCTTTTTTAGTCATGCTTCATATCTCAAACCTTTCCAAATAATCGTTGAAAGCTTCAGAATTTGAGTGAATGTCCAGCTGTTATACAACAGACTCCGTCGCGACGCCAATTTGACAGTTAGGAGTATTTGAATCATAGTACAGACTAGGAATTCCAGAAACACCGCAGTTTAATAAAGAAGTAATAGATGAGCACTAACGAATATATTGTATTTGGAATTCGTAATCAAGCAGTCGTCGAGTACAAAAGAATATTTAGTTCAACAAACATCTACTTTGATAAGTTCCAATTTGTTAAAATCAGTTTACACCAACTTACCTAGGATGAAATGTTCAATAAATTGTTCCTAGACTTCATGTTAATGGTAGACAAATCTGTTGGTCCTCTTAACTTGACAAGTGCTTGAACTATGAAGTCATGAGATGTGTGTTGTAAACATGAATTTCTTACAACTCACTAATGTTACGTACGTTTTGCATGGAACCACAAGCAGATGACACAGTGTAGAATGTTTTCGTATTTTATATAGTTCCGATTGTTGTAACTTGGAGGAGTAGATAAATAAACGTTGTACTCTTTTCGAGATCGACCAGACTCAATGGAAAACAGTGTGCCTATTAGATTTAGGGAAACGTCTGCATTCCCATACAAAGTTGTTCACTAGTGTTCTAAAGTGGGTTTTCTGTGGTAATATACTGACAACCAATTAATGCTGATATATGAAAGCCGCAAAGTCGTACGGGTTTGTGCGCTTGAACATACAAAAGCCACACTACCATTGCTAAACTGTAATTCTTCGAATGTAAGAAAATGAGACGAGAGCTCTGTGTTGTGTGAAGGAACGAGAAATAAGTCTAGATTACCAACAGTTTATAAAATGTTTTCATATATTCATAAGAACGAGAACACCATAAATACATAAGTTGTGAACTGCTACAAAGACCGGTACAGAAATCAAATTTTAAAAAGTGTATGGATTAGCAGTCTCAACACAGATTGACATGGAATGCTGATTAAGTTGAACAAACTGTCGAATAAACCCGCAAAAAGACATACTGTTACAGAATCTAGTAACCATAAGGGTGCTCTACGTTTCTGTGAACTTTCGAAAAATACATCAGTAGACTAACCGTAAATGTTATAAGTATTGCACAAAATTCCATGACGATAATAAACAACCAGGCTTCACAAAATAGTTATTAGAAAAAAAGTAATACAACCAAGGTCTGAAAACGCATCAAACCAATTAATCGCCATGCAATTGAAAAGTCACTTTGATGGACATACGTATCCCAGTAACGTAATTCCGTTAGCTAAGGCTAGAAAATTTCAATCACCGAGAAGCAAGCAAACAAACGTTTCCCACAAACCTTGTGCTGCGAAAACGTCAACCAATAAGTCCCTTAGGATTTGTTACCTTTTAGGGAAAAGAGAACACCTCCTACAGTCTAAGAAGGTAAATTTACAGTTATACGGTAGTTTGGTTTAATGAATTCAAATAGTAACAATTTAAGTCCAAAAAATCAATATACTGTAGGCTCAATTTGGAGGTTAGTCGAAATAAAACGAACATATCGTAATAACTTTCGTATTGAGGAAAATGGCTACAAAAACTAAACCGAAAGTGAAATTAGTAGCGAAAATCTCATTTGGGGTCAAAAACTAAAGTGAATGTGTATAAGAAAGAACCTAAAGTAAGAAATCCACGTGGGGGATTTTCACAAACAACCAATTACATACAGTTATAGTTTATAATTACTAGGATCAACTTCCTACAGACTGCCTCTTCAAGTGCACTATTCCATCGTGGATTTCTTCCGTAGTGAACATCGTTTGGATTTTACGGAGTATCGATTTCCATATCACTTGTATTGATAATTTTAAAACTTGCTCATATTGTCTGGAGATAATGAACTAAGGCTATCACAATGTCGAAATTAAGGTCAGGTTCATATTATATCACCGTTAGGTACTGAATTTAACTATGTGCCGCTTAACTGATATCCATTTCGGACTATAGATAAGTTTACGCATTATCATAGCATTGATATCGACTGGCTATTGCTATTATGACTGTAGCGGGGAGAGTGAAGAAACCTATCGGGTTTATTTGCTAACATGGACGGTTAGATGAAGAATGACTCAACAGACAATGAAGTTGCGTTATTTTATTTCGTTGGGAAATAAACCACATACATTTAAGTATGGATATCTAATGCAGTTAGGAGTACTTAACCAGACTGATCTCTTCCAGTGAAACAAAAGTAACCATTTGTGAATTTTTCATAGGATTTTAATACCCGACTTATGCGCTTATGGTGAATATAGTATTTTGAGTCCTACATACACATTTACAGAGCAAAACACGGTTTGAGATGTTAGGAGAAAACTGAGGATTGTGTACTTAAGATGACAAATACTTCAACTTTCCAGGCATAAAGATAATCACTCGAATGTATTCGATGGTTTCTCTACACTTTCACTGTCTTTTGAAGCGATATAACACTTATTTCTTAATGAAAAAAGCGAAGAACAAAACTACTGTGTGACAATTATAGATAGTTTAGCAGGTAGAGCTATGCATTTTAAGGTTTACCTTTCATTTAATAGCGAGCATGAATTAATAATACAAGAGAAATTTGATTTGTAGGGAAACACACTGATTCCCATGGCTAGCCGTAAGACTGGGAACTTTTGCAGTTCAAAATATCATCTATTGGATTGAAATTACTCCTACACTCGACCGGTTTCGGCGTTTAGTAGGGAGTGATATAGAAACATTGGGGCTGTAGAGAAAACGGTGCATAACTTAAAAGCTTTATACGAATATGATAGACTTTAGAAGAGTCTTACATACTAATAGAGATCCTACATATTAGTTTAGAATAAACTGGTTATTCTAAAGATGCTTATGTGCTTCAGGGTTATTGAAGTTTGTGTGTGGCTGATTCCACTTTCCGGAGACGTAAGGACTTAGTAATTCATGAATAGCACTTCATGATGTGAATAATCAACTGAAGATGTGAGATATTTAACCAAATTTACAGTGAAAAGTTGATATAACGATTTGAATTTATTTTACTGCGGTGTAAATATACATTCATTGGGACAAAAAGCAAACTGCATAGTAAACAATTTTCTTTGTGACCAAAATTAAAACTGAAGTAACTGGAGAGATAGAGAATTATATGTTAGCTGAAGAACAAGAATAAGATAAGGGGCAGGGATATTGTTCGGAAAAAACGTCTAAATGTCATTACTTTACTTGATTCACCGAGAATGAACAAGTTAACATACACTGAAATCATGCATAAACTCATAAAAAAAAGAGTAACTGCATAAGTTGGAAGGAAGTGAAACTATAAAAAGAAAAGACAAAGACGTCTATTCAATATCCATTAGATCTTGATCCTGAAGATTGAAAGATGAGTTTGCGTTTCCAGTGCGACCATTTTGCACACAACCTTTAGTTATATAATGCGAAGATAAAGCACCATTTGAAAGACTATTTTCATCTGTTTCAGACGAAGAATCTTCTTGTTCTTCATCATCACTGTCGATCGTGTTGCATATTTGCGTAGAACCAACTTTGCGGCGTACATAAACTAACACATATGCTGCACTAGTCTACAAGAAAAGATATACAACCGATCAAACAACTTACATACTCGATATTAAACTGTACTTATTGTAGACTAATGGTGTTAAAATAGATAAAAAAGTTGAAGCATTCGTAAAACGAACGTAATTTATTGTTTACATGGTACTAGACTATCAAGTGAAGAGTAGTATTGTCTTACTGTTTAGTGAATTGAAGAGGTTCATCCCTAGAAAATGATGTCTAAAGTATTATATCAGATATTTTTAGTGCATATAAGGCAGATAAAAAAACCTGGAGATTAGTCGAAATAAAACGAACACCAATAACAAAAAAAGTTAATTGAAACGAAAACTTTAAAAAACACTTACTACAATTTTGGAAGGATCACATTCTCGTGTTGAAGAATCATCGAAAAAGTACCATCGATTAGTGTGAGCGTTTAAAGCAAATGCTGTATAATGACCTCCACCCAAATATCCCATATGATTGCTTACAGCTACTAAGTCATAGATAAATTTCTCATCTGGTTTCTTTTCAAGTACACGTGAAGTCAAATTTAAGCCACTAATGTATTTGTTCAATTAGATTTCAGTAAAGCAGAAATATATTTAAAAAAATAAAAAACCGATTAGAAAAATTTATCAAAGATAATTTTCAGAACTATGTGAACAACTAATAATGATAATAATAGTGCGCTGTAATAAACTTCAAAAAATAAACACCAGATGAACAGTATGAAATCATCAGAAGGGGTTTTGTGGAGATTTAGTATTTTCATAGTTGAAAGCATGAGTCAATAGAAGCTAGACCAAGGAAAACGTGGACGGTCGTTTCGTCCTGGGTTTGAATCTCGATAGGCGAAATCGTGGGTGCGCACTGCTGGGGACTCCCACAATAGGACAAAACGGCCGTCCAGTGCTTCCACGTTTTCCTTGATGGTCTAGCTTCAATTGACTCATGCTTTCAAATATGAAGTCGACCATTTTATTCATGGTCAACTCATTGTAATATAAAAAAAATATATTTATAACTAACTTTCTAACCAATGATCGATTTATTTGAAACTATCAAGTTCAACCTTGACATAGATGCCTGTATACGAAACAACAGGTTTGTAAGAAAAAACTCGAAATAACGTGTTTCAAGAACGTGAGGTTCGATTAAGCTTTAGAAAGGTAAATTAGAGAAACATTCAAATGTGGTTTCTTCAACTAGGTGTGAGATAAAATTAACTGAAATTGACATTTACATAATCTTGTAGTCACTATACCCATTACATGAGAACTAAATATACTGTGGTGTGTGCTACTTATGTCGATATTAGTAGTGTATATCACCAATCAGGAATAGAATGTCTGGGAGCAGAAGGTTGAGAAGATCGGAAGAGGAAAGACCGGGAACAGAAAGCAATTAGTATGAAAATGCAGAAACAAGGAAGTCCGGGACAATTAATGAACAATTTGCAAATGAAGTATTGGAGTATGGTTTTTCTATTTTATCAAGTTATTCTGCAATTTTGTGCTAAATATTATAATCGGTTGTCCTCACCTGTGTTCTCCTTCACTACAATACAACTTTAGTTATTAAAGTAAGAGAACACAAAGTAAGGTGTATAACTAGGTGTAATCAATTGGCTTAAACACAACTGGAATAACACTAGAAACTCACAATAAAATTAACTTACGTTAGTGGGAATTCCAGTAAAGTATCGATTTTATCATGAAATCGTAAGTGAGATCGGAAACGCTTTAATTGTACTACAAGAACATCAGGAAGTTTCCATAAATCAAATTTTTTTGTAGCTGGTTTTTCCGCTTTGCAACGACTACAGTACCACAGATCTCTTGAACCTAATTGTTCTATATCAGTAAAACGTTCGAAACAATCTGAAAGTTTTAGGGTTTCATTAAGTCGCGTAACAGGATGTTGTTGTATGTGACTTCGAATGTCATTGAGTCTACGTCGTATTTCTAAACTTTGACAGTCCAAAATGATACTATAAGCGTCAGAACCTGGATAGGAAACAGAATTTGAAAAAATTATCAATAATACAGCGTTGTTTTAGAGAAACTTTATTAAAAAGAAATAAAATAAATAGATCTACACCAAATTGATTAGATAGTAGAAATCGTGTCACATTTTATCGTTACATATGACTGTTGACATATCATAGTGATCAAAACAACTCACATACTCGTATCAACTGTGAGTAATTTTTAAATAATGATCACACAAACTTTCTATGTGATACACATAACAGGGAACAGAAGAGCTATGACAATAAAACATGTTAAGTTATCCTGCTGTGTAGGAAAATCTATAAGTAATCATTAGCCAAAGCAAACAGTTCCAATAATCAGCTAAATCACTATATACAAACAAACAATTCACAAAATTAATGGTGAAGGAAAAAATACCACAACAATTGCTGGTATATATATATATATAATTGTACCGTGGAAAACAAAAACAGATGTTGCGTCATCATATGATTCTCATGAAACGGAAAAACAAGACAGGATTCATACAGTTGCAGATTGATTTTGAAGTGAGAAATTATAAATTTAACTATTTGGTTAACTCAGTTTTTAACTTTGTACTATACTAGTTAACATGATTGTTACATACTTCCTTACATATTATTCTTTGACTACTACCAAACGTCACTATACTTGACATAAGCATCAAACAATAGGCAGTAAACAAGAGTTTGTATAAAATACATTTGAGAAACCATATAGTACCTTCCCAATGTATTTCAATCTAACTACTCTTCAAAAGAGTTAAGATGTTTTAGATTAAGTTAAGTTAAGATAAAGTTAAGATAAGGATCACTTGAAAATCAACAATTCTGTAAAGTAACTAAAACTGAGAGGTGTTGGAGATATTAACAACTGACGTGATAAAAAAGACACAAATCACAATGAATTGGAATGATTCCTGAAGGATGCTGTAATATATGAAGTTTGAAAAGAACACATTAAACATGTTTAAAGTTGAATTTCCCGAATAGGTTAATAAATGTTAAAATTAGCTGGCATAGAGCACTAATGTACCATTTCCATTAGTTCGTATGCATCGAAAATGTGTACAAACAATCTACAACATGGTCTGAATATTAAGTCAAGATTATTTAAATTGGAATAAAAATGTTGATTATAGTATTCGAAATTGTGAGGTGAAGAGAAATAAATAACACTGGTTATTACAGACCGATACATTACAATTGGTGAGATGTAACATTTATTAAAAATGATGTCCCAGAAAATTAAAAAAACCCGCATACATTCAATTATGAGAACGGATTACATAAAATGTCACGTAAGCCTTATTATATTACTTTCCATAATTCACGTATAGTAAATATGAGTTTAAGCACAATAATAATGACAAAGAAACTTTTATTCATCAAAGGAAGTGAAGATTCGGCTTACAAGGGAGAGATATTAAAGTATTTTCTGATTCAGCTAACCAATCATGCCCTCTCGTATCCTTTAAGCATAAACGTCCTTTGAGTAATGAGGCTAAATTGCCCGTTGTTGCTTCAATAGTTTGTTTTGACTGGTCAAAAAGATCGGTTGAGGTTGTATGTGGTTTATCTGGTTGGGGATTACTTTGAAAGTCGCTTAGCGAACAAGAAACAACTGAGTTATTTGCATTTTCCTCCTCTAACTTTGATGCGTCACTGACCGAAGATACAGTCAGTTCACTAGTTATACCAATAGCATGCAAACGGTCGATAATGTGTTTGATCAGTATATCTTCCGAGACGGTAATGGTCATCCCTTTAACATCATCATTTATTGGTAAACTAATATAGATAGGGAAGTTGATACCTTGGGCAATACTGAAATAGGATTAAAGGGAAATCATCCGTAAAAATCCATATCAAATGACCATGATAATAAAAAAGTTATGAAATGATCTGAAACAAATTCTACAACGAGTACTCTGTACGTGTGTCCATACGATCACTACGGCGTTTGGACTTATTGATTTAAGCATTCGAGTACTAAGTTGCAATTATGAGCTTCTCTGTTGTATTTATTCGATTCACATGAAACAAAGAAACTAGAGGTTTAATATACCTGTGACCATCATTGATATACAAAGTTACATAATTACTGGGTGGTACTATGCAAGCAATAGAACAACTATTTAATAATTTCAATAGTTGAGATCACGAGTCAATTGAAACTACACCACCATGGAAAACCTGGAAGCACTGGACGGCCGTTTCGTCCTATTGTGGTCCAGAGGTCAAGCGCTCGCGCGCGAGACTGAAAGGTCCTGGGTTCGAATCTCGAGAGGCGGGATCGTGGATGCACACTGCTGAGGAGTCCCAGAATAGGGCGAGACGGCCGTCCAGTGCTTCCAGGTTTTTCATGGTGGTCTAGCTTTAATTGACTCATGATCTCAACTATTGAAATTACTATAATATCCACAAAACCCCTTCTGATATTAACTATTTAAAAATTTATATAGGTTGTAATGTTTACTACGTCAAGCCCAAGTGGATTATTTTAGATAGATCGATTTGTTTAGTCATTTTAGGCCACATTTTGACTGTCTGGTCGGATCAAGGAGTGTACGAAATATACACATTCGAAATCCATTCTCATATTTGAATTATTTCATTCCGTCATTCAGTGACGCGATTAAAGTCGATAATTATATACTGGAGTAGCCGAGATGTAAATTTCGATAGCCTCATCATACCGCTACAAAAGTGGTAAGCCCGATTTCGAAGGAAAAGCAACCTGCAAAACTACGCAGACGTTGGACATCCTGAACTTTACGCATCCGATAAACGAACTAAGCGGCTGACTAAATTGACGAGCGACTCAATCTCTATTCTGAAGCATTCAGCGAAGCCAGTACAACAGAATAAAATTTCCCTGTTTGAAGTGAGTCTGTTCCTTTTCTTCGCACTATTTTTGCTTCATTATTACACTCAATCACTTGGCTGAAGTTATTTTTATTTTACCGTACCAGGCACTACCAGATTATATCCAGATGATGACAGATCACTGACAGAATAGGAATCCATTTTCTTTTGAAATAGTTGCTCTAGTCATAGTGTACAAATTGATGAGGAGGTTGGGATTGAATTTTTACGGTAGTGAATAATGCCATAATAAAATTTACTGACCAAATGTATTTGGAGGTAAAGTGCAGCAATTAATGATGATAAGGTTTGAGGAATTCACTTACTTGTCGTTTGTCCAGAGTACAGGAATCGGGAAACCTTCAGTCAGTTCATAAGCAATCAGGGAGGCATACCTTGAACGATCTACAGATTTGTTTGGTATATAATACTGTACGAACACAAATAATAAGGTGTTTCGAAAAGGAAAATTTGAGACAACAATAATGACTGTTATATTAATAATAGATTATACTCAAAGTAATTTCTGAAGCTTATTTTTTTCGAGGTTTCCATTCAAACCAAGATTAATTACATGATTCACTGCCTCGACGTCAGATCCTTCTTCCTCAACAACACAAACATGAAAGCTGTCGAGTGTTTACCAATTCAGAAGTTGGTTTTAAACTCGCTTCGCTTAATTCAGTCTGAAATGCAGGATGATAACATTGGTTGTTATACAAATAGATATACGGCTGGTGTCATTACTACAAGTACTATTCCACTGTAGGTTTCATTATTATGTGTTGTACGATAACTGAAGCATAGTAAGGGACAAAAATAATCTGCAAATGATGATGAGTATTTTACACTTAGTAATTGATGTGCAAACATATTAACCTTTAGGGAAATAAACTCAAGATCACAAAGTAAGGATAACTGAATTGACTGCAAAAACAAATAGACTCCAGCGATCTAATAAGAGCTGATCACAAACACCACTCCTTCTTTGTTGTCAAACATATAGCTGAAACAGATTACTGGACTGATCTTAATCCGGATTTTCGTAGTGTTGTATAGAAGTAGTCTAGGGCCATCTGTAAATTTAAAGTTATGTGGCGTTCCCAAAACATTTATACTTATACTAGATCAACCGTGTTAATATAAATGTTGATTTAATAACCTGAGCAATCTAACTTATGTATTTCCTTACTATCCTTGGCCTTATTTGTTTAGTGTGATCACTTATTCCTAGCATAAACATTTTGAAAAAGTTGATATGTAAATATTCGAAATACAATGAACTAATGTATCACATACATCTGAAAAGCTTCGTCTTCTCTAAAGTTATTTATCAAAAGGACCAATACTTTTAAATTCGAGGAATTTAATGTTCGCAATTTGAAGTGCATTTTAGGTATCAACTTGTTGTATAGATAGATGCATTGATTTAAATTCTTACATCTACACCACATTTAGGATAATAAAATAATGAAATACGAATTCATGCGAATGGACATTCATTTTGTTAGTCGTTCTCTAATTATCTAATAGACTGAGTTTGCTTCAATATGTCTGTCGATTGGTGCTCGCCTAATAACTATCGGATTTTTTTGTTACGATTAACTTAATTACAATGGATTTTAATAACAATTTACCTGACAACCTGGAAGAGGTGGACGCTCTTGTTCTAATGCCTCAATAATATTTTGACCACAAGGTATTGTGGAAAGTGTTAACTCTAATAGAAGAAGTTGGGATTTATTGGACTTCCACGGCCAAACATAAACGCGTACAGTATATTTGTATACTTCTTGTATAGGCAGAATTAATGAAGCAAATGGATCAAAAGTGACTGATTTACGTTGGCAAGTAGGACAAATCACGGTGGACTTCAGCTGTCCATGAAAAAGATCTACAATTATAGAATCATTTCTTGACTTGTAATATTCCCAGGCTTCATTTGCAACCTCCTTGTGTAGATGCAGGCATAAAATTTGAAGAATAGAGATAAAAACTGAATTAAAACAGCAAATGATTAATTAAACGAATATAATTTTAAGAATCTACTTTGCATTTTTATAAATATGCGATTCTTTTGTGAATTAATTAAGTTGTTAGTTTCTAATTCTAATTAAACTAATTCACATTGAGTGTACTTCATATCACAGAATGACTAATGATACACGACCATTGAAAACTACGGAAAACTGTAAAGTTTTTTTTGTTTCAGCATGAGATTCCACAATCTATTAAAGTCAAAGAATCCAATACTATGGAGATCCTCTACCCCGAATTTCCTAGATTTAGTTTTTCCAACACTAATTAAAAGGATCTTAGTTTTTTGTAAGTAATCTCGATTTTTCCTGTCGAAATTATGATGTGGGGGGCGTGTGACAACTTAGACCAATACATACTTTGCTAAGTTACCCATAGTTTACGATTAATGGACTTGGTTTCGAGGTTATATGACTTGTTGGCCAATATAATAAAACGCTACATTTCGAGTACTCGGGGCGATTTATGTGCGTAGTTAGTCTAACCTCTATTCTAGATCATTTTTAAATGGAGATTTCTAGATTACGAAGTGTGGAATTTCTATTGAATGCTTGAAATAGTAAAACATTATTGAAGGCCTCAACTACTGTGACTGTTCAAAAATCAGATTTATATTTCCTATGTTGGATATGTGAGTCAAATTGCGAGGAAAGATCTCAATTAACGAACTATTGGTCAACGAACTTTCCTACATAAAGTGCAAACTAGAAGAAAAATCAAGAGACAATAAACGACATGATGGATCTGTTTTAACGATCGCCATATAACCACCACACTAAAGGTTATTTATTGGTTTCAAAGAAGAAGTTACAAAAGCAGGCGCGATTCACAGCGCACAAATTCAGACAGTTGCTTGTGAATACATTGATTAACCAAAAAGTTATATTCAAACATCAAATACGTATTGTAACAGTGTAGGTAGAAAATAAGCGGAAGGTGGAGGGTCAAAATGAATCAAAACAGATTGATGAGGATAGATGTGAAACACGTATGTGCAAACGATAAAAATATATTAAATTTAGAAGACAAAACGGATGCATCTATTTAGGGAATTTGTATTATTTCAGCCATCAGTCAATGTTTGTATGAATCGATGCCATATAACAGCCTGGTCACCGTCTTTTATATCTTTCAACTAGTGGAGATGATTCAAAAATACTAATATACAAATATATATGATAGTTTAGCTTTCATTGTTATTTTAAACTAATAGAAGCACGAATTTCCTGTAAGCATCTATGCAAAAGTCGTTTAAAGATCTTGATTATGAATACAGTGGTCTTGAGTGCTGTTAGAGGTATGAGGGCAGTTATCACTTCCCGGTTGCCCACACCATGAAAGGGTTCTTCTAGAGGTATTTAAAAAAAATCGGGTTAGAAGTGGTCTTAATGACCTGAGAGCGTGACCGCAGTGCCCAAGGGACAACTGCCTGATGTCGGTCATACACGACCTTTTTGTGGGTAGTTTTTGTGTTAGCTCAGTACTTGTTGGGACCTTACCGCCGGAGACGGATATCCGTGGGATAAAGCGAGGTGTGCATTTTTAGGGTCGACCTTTGCTAACCCCAACCCTCCATGTGGGAAGGCAGCATCGCTGTTATGCTAGTTGTCTGAAGGAAACACCTTACTGCTATCACACCTCTGTACAGTCAGCAGTACGACTTCACCTTCGTACCTTGGGATTGCTGCTTTTAGTCTTACCGCCTGGCATGGTAGGACCTTGAGGAACGATTGTTCCGGCCAGTATAGCTCGATCGGTTCATCACGATAGGCAAGCCCGACCACCACGTCAAGGTAGCAGCAAAGTAATTTAAGAATTCTAAAGTAGATAGGAATATTTCTATAAGTAGGTATAGTGGTATAAAAAGAGAACAAATTTAATTCTGACTTCAGAATAGATGTACTGAAAACTTTATAGTCAATAAACATAACATGGTAATAGGATAAACTTACAATATCCGGTCTACCATCGGAATCTTTCACTTCAATATAAGGCTTGGAGTGTATTCTATTTAAGTCCTCATGAAGTCCATCCAATAAGAATACAAGTAGTTCATGAGTGTCATGTTGAGCATATCCAGAAAATTGACGAGCAATACGTGCAATTTCAATCTAAGATTTGAAGTACAAATATATATATATATATATATATATATATATATATATATATATATATATATATATATATAATCTTGAAAACGGAGACAATAGGAATTATAAGGATGTTTATTTAAGTCTTGTAGTTGGTCTCTTTCAAGAGAAAAAGTAAAGACCATTCTTTACAGAATACAACAAAAAGAAGTATTCATTCAAAAAAGAATATGAAAGCCACAATAGACAACGAAATATGATCAGTCAGTCAGCCACAACGTAGGACCAGGCACATATATGCATCGGTCCAACTTGCCATACTTCATTAGCACAACAAGATGAACACACGAAATATAATATTTTGTGGAAGTAAATCAAGTTTTTCTTAATAGCGGCAGGACTACTATTGATTTAAATGACGACAACAAGTTTGTGAAGTAAAGTGAAACTAGTTGAAACTAACTTGAAATGGTTAGGTAAACATTATATCACAGGCTATAACTTCGGATGAGACATGTAGTATTGAAGAAATAAGTAATACTTTACTAAGGAGGGATGCACCATAAGGACAAGAATAAAGGATCATCGGAATTTATTAATAAAAGACTGGAACCAGATGAAATATCGAGAGATAACTACAGAAACAAGATACTAAAATGTGCATAAATGGCACAAATAATTGAGGGGGCTTCGTTACTTTTGCAACTACAAGTCCATATTGTTATTTTACACAGAAAATTATTCAAACAAAAACCACATGACCATTAATTAACAAACTTTACTTTGGATAGCAAATCAGTGAAACTAATAATTCACCTGCCTGCAAATGCCTACGGAAACGGATGTTATTCAATTATGAATTATAAGACGAAGTTGAATAGAAATCTAAGGAGCAGATGGATTTGAACATCTAACCTAATTTATGCAACGTTGAGAATTAACATAATCATACTCATATTCCAAACAACCAATGGTTGGTAATAAAACTAAAATTGAGTCTAAATAGACACATAAGAACATTCTACACAATAATGATATAGAAGTCATACAACAAACAGATATCAAGAAATACATACCTTAAACTCACGAGGCACAGCATATGCTCGCGTCCCCGACCAGAGCTGCTTAATGAGATCTGCGTAAGCAGTAGCAATTCTTCCTTGAGATCCAAGTGGATTACGTATATTTAGTTCGGACTTCCATTTGCCACTTAGGAAGTAACTGGTTAATGCAGGAACATTGGACATACACTGAAGAGCACTATTCATAAAACATGTATTTCCCAAGTTATTAAGACCACAAACTCCTGGTACTAAAGGTGGACCTGATCCATGTAAAGATAGCATCTGGGATTCAGGTTGAGATCCTATAGAGTCATTCGACTTCAAACGTGAACTATTTACGCATACGCTACATTCAAGGAAGAATAGTGTTGATACAATAGAGAAACAAACGTGACATAAATAAGACTAGTTATTAAGACTAAAAACAGAACTCAGAACAGTATATATTAGAAATGTTTATCTTTACTGTACAAAGCGTAACAAACTTAAATTAAATGCCTCATCTGTCCTAAACTCTGAAGAAAAACATTCAGACACTTAACTGTTTAATCACTTTATGTTCGGATAAGAGATGAAGTTAAACCTTAATGTCGATGAGAAACGAAAATTCCTATCAGTATAATACTTAAAAAATCAATATTTTTACTAAAGTACAGTAGGCTTGATACATTTTAGTTACCTAACCGATGATTGGAAAATTTGATGAACTGTATAGTTTACTTAGTATCAGTTACAAAACCAGTAATCGGTAACCTGTAAACAATACTAATTTACTGTACGGGGGTCAAATCTAAGTAATGAATTATTAATAAGTCAGTAAGGTTAAAATCACATACAATGCAGGCTAAGCAAAAATTGTTTAGTACTTACTCACTGCGTATTCCATTTCTAGGTTCCAGCTGAACAAAAATGACCTAAGAAAAAACGGGAAATAAAAGATTTATAGGCATATGAGGTTACTTGATTAATACATAAGTATTCTACAACCGTTGAAATAGTGGTTTACTATGAGCTTTAGTGATACACAGTAAATACCCACTTTTGTAGACCATAATGAAATAAAAGCTGTTGTTTAATCCAAGATCTTAACCATTCAGGTAATAGGGGTTTCTGTGAAGTGGTTTGATGGGTGGTAACTTGCAATTAGATCTGTGACTTACTATTATTGTGCAAAATCCCACACAAATCTTTGAAGTCACTTAGTCGATGGTTTTGTTAAATTAGTAATACTGTAAATCAGATAAACACATCGGTATATTTGTTCCTAGTGGTTATGTTGCACAGTCGCACGATAGTGTTATGCAATGATTCTTTTTGCTTATACATAGAATAACTTATTGACTCTTGAGTTTAGATGGGCGAAAATAATCGAATTTTACATTTGGACCAATTATAGCTCCTCGTTTACTAAAGATATTTCTGTACACCTGTAGTAAGTTAAGACAGGTTTATGACTTGAGCTATATTTACTGGGTTCAAGCTAACGTTACCACCATGATGTGGAAAAAAATATGTAGGGCAGGTTTGGAACCTATGAAAAGCAGGATGAAAGCTAAGAGACCAATATGAGCCAAAGCTCTACACTGACAGTAGCAGTATAACGAATTTAAATGACAGGACAGTTTAACTAAGAGTTGAGCAATATCTCAAAGTTGGAGGAAACAACAGTCACCACAAGTAATGTACCTGACTAATATAACAGTAAGAGACAGAAATCGACAGTGTGCACCATTAGATCCGCAAAGAGAAGGCAATAAATATTCTGTCTTGTTTTCAGAAGTTAGTATAAATGGTTTGACGTTAACAGCTTCTTTGGGTTATTAAGACCACTACTTTGAATACTTGTTAGTTATTAACTGATTTGATTAGAGGATTGGTGATTACTAGGATATTCTAAAACAAAACCAATGATCATGATCTCTAAACAAACAGCTTTGATAAGCTGACCTACATAACCTGGAAGTCACCTTTCTTAATCCTATTAGAAGGACAATAGAATGAGTGTGAAAACTAAGACTGTATGCAGGTTAAAAAACGCGTCAACCTAAAAATTGACAAATGGCAACGGGCTTTACACGTTAGGATGAATATTAATGATAACGTTTATGGGGCTCCAGAAGTCAGTTTCTGACCAGATCCCGAAGAACAATGAACGCTGAAGGCACATTGCCAAAGTAACTTCCTGTACCAAATGGAATGGATAAGACCTGGAACGAACTTAACGCATTACTACCACCATTAAATATTCTGGTATTCTTGAAATTAATAGACACTTACAAGTTAAGGTGCAAACTACTTGAATTACATCACATTTGGGAATTGAATGTATTGGTCTCTGAGTTATGCTTTTCGCAACCACGATTACTAAGCGACGAATGTTTCGATGTGTTTACACTTGGCATTAAATGACTGGGTGATCATTTTATTTTACAAACAGTAAAAAGCTCACTGAAATTTTACTTTTTCACGCTCCAGATTAGCTTCTTCTATGGTAGCATCTTCATCTTCCAGTTCTTCAAATTCGTTTTGTTCATTGTGTATTGATAAGTGGACATTCACGCCAGGTGCTGCTTTAAGGTGTTGTGCGACTATCGCTTTAAGTTCTCCTGAAAAGTAATTAGGGGAAACCACTACATACTTATTGTCTGAAATTTGCAGTATGTCCCTTCAAACAGCAAAGTGGCACTTGAGTTTGAGGGATTGAGGTAGAATGAGTAGTGGGGTGGATATATTTCGATTTCAGCTGACTTTGGTGCTTGGATGGCACGCCGTTCGAAGACAGAAATGTCTGTATGTGTACAACCATAAAAATCAACAAACAGCTTCCACACATTCCTAGGTATTAATGTGATGTCATTTTCTAAGAGCAAGTTTTCTTTTAATTTTCCATCGCCTACGTTAATATAAAACATATATAGACAAAATCCTACATAAAATATCACTGTTATCAACTTTTCCTGGATACTCTTCAGAGGTTTCGTCCACTATTCCACTTTTGGAAACCGAATCCACAAATTCTTCCCATTTCGTCCACCAGTTAAGAGACAGGATATACCTACAACAGACAATGGTGATATACTTAAACGTTACCATAAGTCTCCTTTTGTTATCTCCACATTCATTAACTCATCGACTTTGGCTTTTTGAGTAGTGAAAGTGGCAGCACTTATACAGTTTCTAAAACCAGAAGTAGATGAAACGTTTACGAGCTTTTGGAGAAAAAAATGTACAGATAAACACTAGATTTTGTACCCACAACATCGACTTACTGTGAAACCATTCCTAACCGCAACTTTCTTAAAACAAGCGGTGAAAGTTGCAACGCTCATCATTGCTTAACAGAAACAAAGTCTCAGTGGACATACAAAGGAATCTGCTTATGGCTTCAAAATTGAAATCATTCTTGATTTTTTAATGACATACTTCTGGTTAAGCTATGACTCACGTATTCGCAGCACTTATGTTTGCTTTATTATAGTTTGTAGTTTAAGTCGTAAGCTCTGTGGAGATATGTTCAACGTTGTCGCGTCAACTATGTGTATCGTAGACCCGAATCACGGTCGTGCTTACGTTTATCTAGTCAGTGAATGTTATGTATTATAACGTAGTTTTTATTAAACAAATTAGATTATACTGTAAATGTTGTTGACCGTAATTTTAGTGTCATATCAGGCTGTGTTGGACCGGATACATACATCGCATACTACAGTGACAACCTAGGTTGTAGAGAACTTAATTATAGTTGCAGGTACTTCAAAGTAGACATTCAGGAAACATTTTCCTTAGGAAAATATTTGAGGTTCAGTTCCATAGTCAGCTACTTTAAGTAACATGAAGTAGCTTGGATGCAACTGTCGTCCTGGTTTAATTTCACAACAGATAAAGTAGATCTTGCGCAATCTACTACCAATATCTCCGTGCGGATCGTGTCAAATACGATCAGTCTGAATCTACCTGCAATTCACCAAAATTTTCCTTCTTTCATTTCTTTGTTCATGGAAAAATAATCGGGGATACACACCCGCCGATATCCGCAAAGACCAACTTGGAGAAGTGATGCCTTATGACATCAGATAAACAGAATACTTTTACTTACTTTCCTTTGTTAATATTGTATTTGGAATCGATACAAGTAACCTCGGAACAAAGTTATTAATTTTCATTTAGTCATATGTTCTGAATGGTATTCCCGTCACTTGGGTGGTGGCTCCATTTTAGTAGTTAAGCGATTTCCTACTATCATGTAGGCTTGACAGCATATCGTTGGAACTTAAGCAAACTAAGAAACTGTCGATCAATGAAAAACCTAGGTTTGTTCCAAATTCTTGACATCAGGACATAGTAATGGTCTTCTAGAAATTCCTGGAAGACTAGTTGTGCTGACAGTATATTTGGGGCCTAAGAAAGGCCAGAGTATTTCGCAATGGATGGATGACTTTCTATAAACGATGCGGTACCAACATCAGCATGGGTTATTTGTATCGTGTAGTCTGAAAGTAGTGATATCATACGAGGAAGTGAGGCTGGAATCTCATAGATGCAGATGGTGTGCACTCATCAAATACACCAGTGGAGTAAAAGAAATTGTAGTGAACTTTGAAAATATCGAAATTTTGTTTTAAGGTTCCCGTCCATTGTCTTTACTGATGATTATTGCACTAACAAGAACTGTCTTAGTCATAATATTTTGAGGCTCAGATTGTTTAGATTTCTTTTAAAAATAGAACTTGATAATTGGTACATCATCCACGTATTACCTGACACCAATCTATTCGGCACCAAGAAACACAGAGCATCGAATGCTCCTGACGTATTTCTTCCTATAGTTCATTAGTGTCTACATTCGCAAGCTGAATTCATGTTTTAAAAGATCGAAAACCATCGTAGGAATAGTACTCCATTTTGAAAGAGTTTCAAAGAGGTTAATTACCTTCTATTTTACATAATGTGGAACTAATAAAAGTATTAAGCTCTGCACAATATACCAGAAGTTGTGTATTTCATTGTTGAAAATTCGCTTACTACATTTCGATAAGGTTGTAGGACAATACAGGTAGTTTCCTCAACTGACCAAGGTTTTCAGCTAAAAAGTTAATAAGTGTGGCGCATGATTTCATGGTCTCTTTCGTCTTATTTTAAATGATTGTTCATACTTTACTACATTCGTGTTCTGTAGTAATAACTGGGAACACAGACTTCAGTACCGCAGATCACTCTCTTTTCTCCATCCCAAAGTAAAAAAAATGTTTTCAAAGTTGGAGCTATATTAACGTCAACACCAGCATAATCGATAAATAATAAATTTTGTCATCGGTTATATACCTATTGAGAGTTAGGGAACTGACTTTTTTCCTGAACACAGACCATTATAAAAATGTACTGTAATTTTTAAATATAGTTCACACCTAATAATTGTGTGCATAAATATTATACCTTAACAACAATGGTGTCCATGTATAGACAGTAATAGCTATCACAGGTTAGCAGTTGTGAATTTGACGTTAAGTATGTTCTCATTAATGGCATTTGAACAGAATACAAATTTTGGGTAAATTATGTATCACCTAGTCTCATCAAACATAAAACTCGCTTGAATGAGTGTTATGTTTCTGACTAAATCCGAAAATCATTCACGTACAACTTCATGTCAGTTATCAAGAAGTTGTTTCTCAGCGTGAAAATTTAAAGTTATTATATAAGTTTACTGTGGTTACAGACAGTAAAAATACATCCTTTTTCACCTGAGACTCTATGTCGTCTTTCACTTACTCTAAGTATATGATCAACGATGGGGTAATGTTTCATATCGCTAATCGATGATAAATTAGGTTGCCAGAAGTGATGTAGTTCGACCTTAACCGTTTGCAAGATCTCACAAACAGTATATTTCAATACAAATACTAGTTATCAGTTTTTGTTTACCAAGAAATATTCTCCAAAACAATACTGTCATTCCATAATGCCATACAGTACTTTGCCACAGGTGTCTTAACAAGCGTTTGGACTGTAAAATTACAATCCTAGTGAGAAAGCTATCGTACCTGCTTATTCCTAACGGTTTCGAAGAAGCATTTCGATCACACCAAGAATCCAGGGAAACACCGATGGATGAGTTGTAACCAAATATAGCTGAGTCCCCGTTTCTATTACACGCTGATGATGTAGAAATCAGGCGAGTTATAACGGGAGACGTAGATGAGTGTGCGCTTTAGGCGGACTTAAATGTTCATACTGACTGGTCTAAAAAATGACTGATACCTATCGACACAGCCAAGTGTGTCTACATGCATGTTGGGGACACAAAAGTAAACAGATTCAATATGGAAGAAGAGTCAGTACCTGAAGACTGGTCTTGCAATGACCTCTGGGGAAACATTAAACCATAATCTCGAGAACACAGCCCACTGCGGTGAGGTTGCGATTGTGAGGTTTAGAACCTTGTGGGCTCTAAGATGGACATTTTTCAAGTTAAATAACAATATGTTTACCACAGCATACGTAACCTCAGTGAAATGCAAACGTGAAATCTGCATTCAGGCCGCATCCTCCATTTAAAAGGTGAGTCAGATGTCTTGAAAGAAATACAGAAGGCAGTTGTCGATGCTATTCCAGAATTTCAGCGTTTATCATAGAGTGAGAGGCTCGAGAAGCTAGACATCTTTACTCTGTTCTTACCGAAAATGAAGAGGTGATCTGATTTTGATGTATAGAATGCTAAGAAATGGCTTCGAACCTGATATATCTTCTTTTAGTTTCTACATGATCAGGACAAATCAGAAGACTTAGTAGGTTGGTACGATAGCCGAAGCTTGACGAAATACCCATGACATACAATATCAGAGGTCCGCTAGAGAAGGACAAACGAAAGTTATGGGTCTTCTGACCTCAACATACAGATCTGAGTCTCATTTTGAACAACTATCTTTACAGCATTCGTTAAATATGTTCAAACTGTAGTGACATTTATGTACGCGATTGGTGTAACGGAAACCATTATTATTATAATCAATTGTACCAGTGATCGTTTTACTGTACCTGTTTGTTTAAGTGTACAAAATACCCACTTTCTTCCGTTGTCTGTGACCTTGCAGGAACTCTCATACGCTCGGTAGTTCCGCTTGTAAACTTTGGCACGACCTCGGTATTATTTCCATACTACGAGATAACCAACAAATATATTTTATTGCAACCGTGAATCGCCTTCTAGTTTGGGACTTACGGAGGGATCCAACCTAATACCTGGCACATAATCTTTCGGTAGTGGTGATCATTGTCAATCGCGACTCGTCACCAACTACAAAACTACATGGTGAGAATCAAAGTGAATAAAAATTATGTTGAATAAAATTATCCGAATTATTATGTTAACCAGAAATCCCCGAAATAGCTCATTTTAAGCCAGACAGAACTAGGTGAGCACAAACGAACGTATTGTGTTCATAATTCAAGGCTAGGCACATCGAGCACAAAATAATCATTAGTTCATACAACCACCACAAAATATATGTTATATATTATAACTAATAACAAACTGACAGTATATTCGGCTTATCACGTTGAGTTTATAAATGATATCACAGATAAGTAATTTTTATCAAGATCGTCACCCAAAACATCTTCCCATATGAACTTCTCAAAACAAATCAAACCAGAGGTCAAAAATGAAGGGATATGAAGAGATGTTTGAATGATAGTCTATGTGTCGATGTGTAGTAGTCTAAGCTTATTAGTTGTTTTGAAAGATACATGGCAGGACATACTCATACGCAACCTGGTGGGAAGGCTTAACTGACGGCTTGAACTTCGAGGACTGTCCGGTAATACAGATGAGGCCAGCATTAGTATCGAAAACTCACAAAAATATTTCGGGAATTTGTTTTGAACTACATAGCTTTCGGGAACTAAGGTGAGGTCGGAAACGAAACGAATAAGTCGGAATTATGAAAGTTGACAGAATAGTGAGTAGTAAGGTTTCGTATATAAATCAACGTTGAATGCGGGAATTACATGATAGCCAACAACGAAAAACTAACACATGCATTGAAACAATCAAATGACCCTTTATTATCCAGTTTGTGTCAACGTAGTCAGTTGGCAGACCGTTTACTAATTTGAGTAGGGTTTAGATCACTTTAGCATCAATTATCAACATTGATTCTTATAGAGTCAACAGATTGCCTTAGACAAGTGTCAGGCTTTTGAAACGCACATGTATAATAACACGAACGTACTGGCTGATTTGTTTTTCTGGACCATAACCTTTAGTACATGTTCGAAGTTTTTCCAATAAAATCCTCTAAATTGTATGTACCAATTTCCGAACTAGCCAGATA